TTTGTATATATATTTTTCATCTCCATCAGAAACATGTCTCGTCAATGTTAACCTTAGCTGTGGAAGTTGGGAGGAGCCAATGGAAAAACTTAGAGACCACCCTGCCTTTTTTGTTGTCGCATGATATGTGGGAGGTGGTATGTTGGCCCTTAGTTCTTTGGGTCCTGGGGATACAAAAGTCCTGTTACTTCGGACAGTTATACATGTTGACAGTTATATTCACCATTGTCCTGTCCAAAGTAACACCCAGTAAGAAACTGATTCCTCTAGCTCATTATTTCAAAGAAACAGTCTGTGATACTGTGAATTCTCATTTCTAAATCTCTGGATATCAGTTTCTCTATTTTTTATTAAAGTTTACTTTGTTGTTCTTTTTCTAGTTTCTGTACTTATTTGTGTTTATACTTGTTTGCTGATCAGAATATTTAGAAATGTGAATTTTCCCTTCTGCTGTGCCCTCCAAATTTTGATCTGTTCATTCATGTTTCCCAAACACCTGTCATGGTACTTGGCACATAATGGCTACTCACGAGGTATTTGCTAGTAAGTTCAAATATTTCGCTCCATTTTTTAAAACTGGAGAGTAGAATCCATGCTTGCTGCTGTGTTGCACATAGATTTGGGTATTATGTTAAAGCTGGCCTTTATATTGTAGGTGCAGCAGTTGCAAGGAGTTTATAATTTACAAGAACAACACTTCTGGACCTTATGTTCTGATGTTTATGTTGGGACCTTGAAGCTAGTGGTAGCACCTGATGCTGATGCGAGATGGATTTTAAGCCAAACACACAATATTTTTACTCAGGTATGACTTTTTACTAACTTCTTCCAAAGATCTTTGAATTTATTACCTGTAAACTTTAAACATATTTACTATTTAAAAATGTGTGTTATAAAGTAGGCATAGAAGTACAGGGTCAAACTTGGGAGATCCTTATTTGGCTGCTATACTTAACATCATAGTCCTATTTACTCATCATTGTACTGATCTGAGTTCCTGTGAGAAAAGCTAGATTCTCTCTTACTATATACTTCTTATAAGACACCTTAGATGTTCTTTGATGGCAAGAATTCTAAAATAGCATTTGGAATAAGAATAATGACTTGTCTGTGGTGTTAGTTAAAAACAGACTAACTGAATGTTTTTGTGTGATGATAAAGCCATATTTAACTCCTGTATGACTTAATAGCTCACTGTGTTATTATATTTCTCTTAATTTTGTATTTGGAATCTTGGATTAGTGCATGCTTGCAACCAAGTTGTTTCAGTTAATTCTTGTCCCATCAAGAGTTGACATATTCGTGTGATTGATGGTCAAAGTAAGGATGATTTTGCTATTCTGTATGTGTTGGGAGAATACGAACACCATGTCAGTAATATCTAAGGAAGGAGAGAATACATTTCTATTTTCAGTCTAGTTTGTTGGAAATATTTGGTGAAAAAATCTAGATGTCAACATGCCTGCCAAAATGATCTAACATTCAGCTCTAATGAGGAAACTGATTCCAAACCTTCAAAATCTGTGCTTAAAAACTGAAGTGTGCCTCCGCGTGTGATTTAACAAAAAGTACATGACAATGACCTGTGGTACCATTGCCAGAGTGGATTATGTGGATCTCAACATTAGCAAACAACCCGATAAACCAGCTTGCCCAAATTGTGCAAGATTGTTAGTCTAGATTGTTGTAAAGTGTCAGTATCACTTTTCAGTCCTCTTTTCTGCTACCTGTGTCATATTCCACACCCACTAGGCTGTTTACTTTTCGGTGTGGGGCAAAATCCTCTGTAATGGAAAGACCAATTCAGTTGTTACTTTTTCTCTGCAAAGGTGTATAAACTCACACATGATAACATCTGCGTGAGGGACTTGGACAACAAAACATAATAAGCAGTTTAGATAAATTCAGAACCTTGGCATAGATCATTCTCTGATAAATAGAATTGTCTGGGTAGGGTCCTCTGGAAGTAATTAATGAGATGACCTTATATATAGATGATAACTAGAGTTACTATTACAGAAGTAGCATGTCCTAGCACCACTTACTTCAGACTTTAAGAAATACTGTAATAACTGCATCATGATGACTTTCATAGTGAAGTTTACTACAAGATCTTAATCTTCACAATATGTCTGAATCCTCACACTTCCTTCTCATTTTAGAGGCAAAATGAAAGCTCAGCTAACTATAACTTTGCTTTTTTCTGCTGTTTTTGTTAGAGCTTACTCTCTCTTCTAACCTGTTTTCTCCTTGTTGCATGTCCTTTACCCTGATGGTCCGAGCTTCTGTTGACCTCTAGGATACCCCATGATCTCCTAGACTCTGGCATTTAAGCCATAGTTTTCCTGCTGAGAAGGAATGTAGTTTCTTGTTTTCGAAATGCACAAAGCAGCTGGCCTATGCTTAGAAACTGCTGAAGTTGTAATTGAAGTTGGTGGAGAGGTTCTTCTGGTAACCCTAGAAATCTCGGCTTTTAAAATGGTTAACTTGAAAGTTGACTCAGCTGCTGCTTTGGTTTTGGAAACTGTATTTGGGTTTTGAAAATTTTAAGCTCTGACAAATAGTTTAAACCTGTTTTATCAGTTAAGACCAAGCCAACTTGGTTTCATGCCTTGCCAGAGGCGAGGCACTCATTCTATTTTGTTGTGAAGATGGTTAAACACATTTTTCCCCAGGAAGGAGAGGTTACCCTACTAAATAAAGACTTTCATTCCAAACATTGAATAATTTAAAGTTGTTCCTTACTCTTTTATTTTTGGTTCTGACGAAATTGAAATGTCTTATTGATACAGTTTCCTTTTGTGTATATCCTAGTACCTATGTAAGTAAATCCCAGAGCTTGTGGTAATGTTTCCATTTCATTAAGTAACACTTAAATTTAAATTTTAAATTTCAGATTAATTCATAGATTGTAGTTAACATTGTCATAAAACTGAATGGTTTTGTATTTTTTAGAAAAAAATTATGCTGATGTTTTAGGTATATTTATCAAGCACCTTGAAACATTGGTGGCCTTAGTTCCAAAAGGTCAAAAGGGTTTTCTCATTAGTAAGCTGTACTGTCTAGCTTTATGACCATTTCAAGTGTCTATCTTAAAATTGATTTTTTTTTAAAGATTTATTTATTTATTTGTGCATACAGAACTGGGGTACAGGCCAGAGGCTCAGGGGCGGTGAGAGGCTTCACCAGAGACAGAGTGGGGAGCAGAACAGGCAGATCTACGAAGTACACTGCTGAGGGAGCAGCGGGCTGGTCAGGAGAGGTCTGGCTCGCCATGAGGTCTCCTCCGGGGCAGGAGGCAGGCGGGAATCAACTCATGTGGAAGTGGCTTCAGATTCTCAGTGCTGTGCTTTAACCCGCTGGGCCACCAGGGAGGGCCCTATCTTCTAAAGATAGAAATTTAAAGAAGAAATTAAGTAGTAGCTTTGGTTTAAATTTTTTGTTGTTGAAATTTATGTGAAAAGATCAACAACAAAAGTGTGATAATTATAACTTTATATTTTGTTTGTAAAACTATTTGTCACTATTTTAAGACTGTATACTGGGAATGTCTTTTTTTTATTGCATTTCCATAGTTGTCAGTTATGATTTAATGTTTTACAGTTCACTTGCTATGCACAAATATAAAATAATGCATGTGTAAAGTTTTCTGTTGGCATAGAAAAAGTTTTCTCTCCCAGATTTCTCTTGCATTAAGTAGTGAGTTATTTAGCAATTGATAAAATAGAAAACATAGTTTTTATGCTTGGCATGTGTACAGGAAGAGAAGTGGGATACAGTGCCGCGTCCGGCTGATCGGAGCCGAGTCCGGCGAGGGACGATGAGGTTAAAGAAAACACAGGACGCCGAGGTTCTTCATCCAGGAGTCTCTCGTTTATTTCCAGCGATCCCTTTATATACCATTAGGCAGTAGGAGTGGAAGATTAAGGCGGGAAAGGAGGAAGTAGGGATTTTCTCTTGCCACACCGCCTGCAGCTGCCAGATGCTGACACTCCCTTACAAGGGAGTGTGCTAGGGCAGAGAAAGGTCAGGTCGTCCCTGTGGTGTCTTAGGCAGATAAACACAAGTCTGTGATGGCTTTATCGTCCAGATCACCTGGCCACCTTGACAGGCACAACAGGGGTCACATCCCCCGGAGCCCTGGGGGTAGTGTGCTAACTGGGCACCAACAATACAATATTCAGAAGGCTATTTAACACTTTACATTTGTTTTAAACTGTTAAGTTTTTTATAGTGTACTTCACTGTTCCGTCTGTAACCTTAAACTTTTAAAATACATTTTGGTTAAAAGTAACGTTGAAGAAAAATTCTAGAATATGCTTGGGGTTCACTACCCTCCTCATTCCATAAATCACAAAACTGTTAAAGGCTAATACATAGATTTTTTTTACTTCTTTCATACTTTATCTGCCTATTTCTTTTATTAAGTCCTAAATCCCCAGATACCTCCTTCAGCTTTTAGTGCTTCATTTTCTAGCCCCACAACATAAGTTGACACTAATATCAAGGAAGGGACCTCACAAGCTTAAGTGGGAGTTTCCTAAATTTCAGAAACTTCTGTGTTCATCGCTTCCTATCTCTTACCACATACCTCATCCAGCCTAATATCTGCTGGCAGATGAGAGGAGAGATTAGGTAGGAGAAGGTATTTGGACCTTTCCGTGCATTCCATTTGCTTTTCCTTTTTGTAAGGGACTTGAATTGTTTGTAAGTACTGATTTTACTTGTTGCTCTGGAATAGTTTCTTACCAATATTTCCAATTCTTTTGGCCCACCACCTCCTGAGGAGCTTGAGATGAACATAGAATGTGACCAACACATTCCTAGGTTTATTGTTCTTATTTAATCCACAGTTCAGTGTGTGTCTGTTGGTTGATAGTAGTGGCTGGTTGTTGAGAAGAATAATAGCAGCAGCAACTGGCCTTTATTGAAGGCCCACCACACTGCAGGGAGCTCTCCTATCAATGCACCCTCCCATGACAAGGACTGTTATACTCTATTTACAGAAAAAGGACTTCAGAACAGTATTACTGCTCTTCACATGTGAGACAGTCATACTCACTATTTCACTTACTTAGCTCTCACGTGGACGAGTCAGGCTTTTTCAAGACTTCATTTAAGAAGAATGAAGTTAACATTATATAAATTTAGTTAAAACCTGAAACAGCAAGTTTCTATTGTCTTTGAGAATTAGAAAATACAAACCGTAGTTCTCTATAGCCATGTTTCCTTTTCTGATTTTTTTTACTTTTGATTTTTTTTTTTTCCCTTTGTACAACAATGAATATTTATTGGGAATATTCCAAGTCTTTAGTCCAGGTTAACACTTATTTTCATCAAAGTGTATGTGTCTAAAGTAACTAAATTGTCTTTTCAGTTTAAAAAAAGTGTTGACTGGATTGTGGTTTGTTCATTATTCTTGGTATGTAAGGCAGAATGGATATTCTGTTTTTCCCATTTTAAGGACAATACCTCAGCCAGCTCTGATTCTTGGTGTCCTCTCAGTGGTAGATATATTATAGAACCACCCGCTGTTTTGACTTGCTTATCATGTTTTTGTGGTATAAGTAAAGTGTATAAAAACCCTAGTTTTCACTTAGGAAGTAGGTGACTTTCCATAGGATTCCTTGGAAATTCTACCTTCCTCTCTACTTTAGAAAGAAATTGAAAAAGGGAAATGGGAAAGTAGAAAACTTGAAGCTGTCCCCATCAGGACAGATGGATGAAACGAAATGACTTTTCTGCTATTAGACTAAGCTTTTATGTAAAGCAGTAGCCCCTCAAGGGAAAGATATCAGCTTGAGTAATTAACCCATGATTATGCAAGGATCAATTTACCTAGCCTCTTTGTTTTTCCTTTCTTTTTTATTGCCTTGGGCTACTTCATTTCTTATTACTAGCTTCACTGTATTAGTGGTAAAATGGCAGAGATAATAGGAGCTTTTTGGCTCATTTTACTTTTATGGATTTGTTAAAAAAGACATTAAGATAATTTATTTAGGCAATAGTTGTTTTTTCTTAAGGTTAGACATACAACATTTTGAAGTTAAGTATAGTTATTTCAAGAGCCATCTGGATTGAATAAATCAAATATAATTGCAATCACTCACGGTAATTTGTTTTAATAGCTTTTTGTAGCTTATGAAATTCTTATTCACGTGCTCCTTATAATTGTCCTTGGTATGTAGCAAGGAGTTATTAAATATTTGTCAAATGTTGGATGAATATATAATTATTTTGTGAGAAAGAAAAGCTGGTGGTATTCACCAGCAGTTTTAAAATGATTTTGAAAAAATGGATTTGGTTTTAATTTTTAGCACAAAATCTTGCAATTACTAAGTTCTCTTCTGTCATAATCTTTAAGAAGAGGGTGCTATTAAACACACTTTCCATGCATTTAAAGAGTGTTTTAATTGTGTCACAGCACAGATTTTTTTTCTTCAATGAGGCAAAGAAGCTAAAGTTTTCAGTTTCGGTAATCTTTTAGAGTATATTCCGAGTTTTATTCCATTAGAATAAGTTCTGACTCTCTTAAGCATTTAAGAGTCGTCCTACTTAATGCTAAGGAAAAAAAATGTCATGCTAGAAATAACTGCAAGAAGGTAGTATTCATATTTTATCTCCCACTCTGGTTTTTTCTTTCCACTAATGTTCTAATTTACCTTTCATTCTAAGACATTGACAAGAAAAGTCTTATTATAACTAATGTTTTAAGTTTAAAAAAATTTTTATTTGACAGAAGGAAATGAAAACATTTCAACTTCCCAACAAATATGTATTGTTCACTAAGTACTGCTGGGTAGCAACTGTTACATATTATTAAATGTCTTCATCCTGCCTTCATCTGGTTTCCATTAATTAATGCCCCCAATTTTTTAAAAAGCCAATGATCGATTCCAAGTGAGGCACTTTTATTTTGGATACACATTAGGAGAGGGGCAGCAACTACCCTGGGCCACACCCTAGCCTAGAGCTGTCCCCTGGTTTTATGAGGTTGGTTATCAGGGTAGGGAGAGGGACATCCCTGAACCCCCAAACCTGCCATCTGCTGCATCAAGACAAAACATTTAAGACCTTTAATGGAAAGGAACTTTAATGCAATTAGTGTGCCATACAGAAAAGACAAAGAACATAGTTTCTAAATCAAACACCTGAAGTTTCCTATCCCCTTGTGGGTAAAAGTCTAACCAAAAGGGATTGGACCAAAAAGGCCTGAAAATTGCCACAAGTCTAAAGCACATTCTGTCAGGGACCCCTAGAAAAGGATCAGAAATGGCCAGACAAGTCTGGGAGGAAAAGAGCAAAATCAAAATCAGGATAAATGCTGCCATAGTCACCCTTCCCACGGGTCTCTCACCTACATCTGCTTCAACCAGTCCAGGACCAAGAAGCAAACGCAGTTTCCTCACATGTCTCTGTTCATTGTGGCTTCCTCAGGTCTCCTTCTGGCTCCCATCCTGCTTCCTTCTTCAGTCTCCTCTCCAGATTCTTCTCTTCTCTGCTTAGCTCCACCCTCCTCTGGGTGGGGCAGAGAATCTGGAACCCCCATTTTCCTGGGGACCCCCCCCCCCGTCATAATAGTGTATTTTAGCCTGGACTACACTGGGGCCCAGTAGGTTACATGCTTTTCTTATATCAAATGTCTCATCAGCACCTTAAATCCCCACTCATGGGTGGGCATTTTAGTATGCAAATGAGTCCTGGGTAAATTCTGTGTCACTTTTCTTCTTTTGAGTCTGCTCTGCCCTAGGCTTGGGCTGGTTCTGGAGCCATTGCTGGAATGCAGGAAGTCTCTGCAGGGTGGAAGTCCTGTTTGTCACTGGCGGTTTTGTGATTGGTTGAATTCCTGTCAGCCTGAGGGCCTCAATAACCAGAAGGTTAGGCGTGGCTGTCTAGGTCCAGAGGTTCCTGTAAGGGCAGCAGGGTGTGTGTGTGGGGGGGGGGGAGCGGTGTGCAAAAATGCTATAACTTAAAATTACAGTATAATGAAAGAGCATAAGATAGCAATATCAGAAGGTGTGAACTGTTAGGACAGAAAGAGGAGATGGCTAGTGCTGAGGCAGTTTCCATCTCTGTACCAAGCTTTGGGTTGTTTTTTTTAAAACCCTGTGTGTGTGTATAGCTCTGTCTGTATCTCTCTTTCATCACCTGACATACTATATTGTAGGGTAAATGAAGTTGATCAGGCTTTTACACCATTGACCACCAGTGGCTATCACCTGCAACCTTGACATTGCTAACATAGAGGGATGTAGGGGGTGGGTTACTTGTGCCTGACTGGCCACTTGAGCATGGCTGTGTGCGCGTGTGCCTCTTAGACTGGAGGTCAGGGATATAAGGGCAGTGTTACTCAGATGGCTATGGAAGTCTGGCTACAAGACGAGGAGCAACACCTATGAGAAGAAGAGACCACAAGAAACACCAGGGAAAGCCCAGGGAAAGCATAAAGATTCCCAGGGCGCGGCCCTCCCCGGTGGCTCAGCAGGTTAAAGCACAGCACAAAGAAGCTTAAGCCACTTCCACATGAGTTCGATCCCCACCTGCCCCAGAGGTGACCACATGGTGTGGCAGACCTCTCCTGACCCGCGTGCTGCTCCCCTCAGCAGTGTACTTCGTCAGTCTGCCTGTTCTGTACCCCACTCTGTCTCTGGTGAATCCTCCCACCCTCTGCATCTCTGGCCTGTACCCCAGTTCTATACAAATAAATAAATCTTTGGAAAAAAAAAAGATTCCCAGGGCACTAAGGTGCTCTCTCCCTGCTGGCTTGTTTCCCCTGTTTACCATTAAAACCTGTGAAAATGATGCCAGGGACTCCAAAATTCTCCTTCAAATTGCTAGAACCAACGGTGACCCTACCTGGCCTGGGATGGGTGCAGAACATTTACTTACTTACTTGTTTATCATTTCCCCTAACAATAGCATATAAACTCCATAAGGGCAAGGATGTTTTTGACCTCTTTGGTTCACCTTGTATTCTCAGCAGTGTGGTCCCCAAAATACAATTAATGCATAGAAAGTACTTGTTGGGTAGATCAATTGAATACACTTGGTTAGGGTGGTCAGCGTAGGTAGGCCTCACTGATGTCTGAGGAGAGAAGCAATTGTGTGACCGTCTCCGGAGACATTGTTCAAGGCAGAAGAGCAGGTATGACTGAGGTAGAGTGAAAGAGAGAGGGCTAAGAGTGATATCAGAGGGGTAATCAGGGACCAACTATATAGGGGATGTGTGGGTCATTGTAAAAATTTGGTTTTTTTTTTTTTTTAAGATTTATTTATGCATACAGAACTGGGGTACAGGCCAGAGGCCCAGGGGCGGCGACAGGCTTCACCATAGACAGAGTGGGGAGCAGAACAGGCAGATTAACGAACTACACTGCTGAGGGGAGCAGTGGGCGGGCCAGGAGAGGTCTGCCGCGCGCTGTGTGGTCAACTCCTGGGCAGGTGGGAATCGAACTCATGGGGAAGAGGCTTTAGCCTCTCAGTGCTGCGCCACCAGGGAGGGCCAAATTTGGGTTTTTAAAGGTTAAGGAAGTTGTGGGGTTTGAATGATGGAGCGGCATCTCTCCTGGAAACAGACCAAAGGCAGGCAAAAGTAGAGAGGATGGTAGTTTCAGTCAGGTGGTAGCAATGAAGGTAGCTAGTATAAAGTGGTCAGAGTCTGGGTTTATGTGAAGATTAGCAAACAGGTTTTGCTAATGGGTTAGGTGTGAGAGGAAGAGGCTGTTTAAGTTGTAACATTAAGGATGAAATTGAGCTGTAGAAGATAGTGAGTGAACGCATGGGCTTAAGGAGAGGACTAGTGTTCAGTTTAGCTGAGTTGTGATGCTTGTCAGACATCCAAGTAGAGCTGGTCAAGTAAATGGTGGGTGAGTGATAAATATAGCAGCACTTTTATAGAGATAGACACGCACGCGCGTATAGATAAACTTAAAGTCTACATGCTAGAGAGCTCATCTAGGGAACGAGTGTAGAAAAGGAAGGAATCTGAACCTTGGGATGTTCAGCGATGGGGAGGGAAAAACCCAGCAAAGGACTCAAGCAAGACTATTAAGTCAAAAGACAAGCACTGAATTTTTACCTGAAATCCAAGAGTGGAGAAAATATTTCAGTAGGAGGGAGACATCTCTTGTGTTCTTGTTGATAAGTATTAAAATAAGCACTGGTAATTGAGCCTTGATCTGGGCAACTTGGAGGTGACCCTAATAAACATTTTTGAGAAGTAGCAGGTGGCAAAATTTGGTTGAAATGGGTTCAAGAGAAAAAGAAATGTGGACAGCAAATAAGAAATCTTAATAAGCAAGGAGAGTTGGGAGCAATTTTAAGAGCAAGTGTCTTTGAGTAGCAAGATCATACCTCACATTGGAAGGGCTGGAGTATATGAAAATAACCAGAAGATATTTAAGTGTTTACCAGCCTCTTATCACAGGAGGATGTAGACTGATTTTAGTAGAAAGCACTATGGTGCTTTCTAGGCAGATGGCTTAATCTCGTTTTTGTAAATCTCACTTGGACCAAGTATGTGATTGGTAGCATGACTAGCTTTTGCAGTGGTAAATGAAGCATCTTTTGGAATTTACAGAGATAACTTGTTTCTAAAATAAAATTACTGGTGCTTTCTAATGAGAAATGAAGATTTATTCCCCAGAGGTAGAATAGAAAAATAATTTTTGCCTTTCTCCAAAAAATGAGATGCTTCTTGTTCCTTTTTCTTGAAATATATGGTCTCTTGTACACTTTCTGGGTTTTCTAATTTTTCTTTTTTTAAACTTTTCAGGCTGGAGTGAGACAGCTTTATGTACAGATTGACTTCGCAGCCATGTAACGAATAAAGAGAAATTATGCTTTTGGGGGGACCTAATTTTTCTGGTACTGTACAATTCCAAACATTGTACCCAGCTTTTTTAAACAGAGAAATGATCACTATGACTCCCTAGCGCCCAGTAGCCCAGGTAGAGTCACTGCTTACACTCTGCCAGGCGCGCACAGCGAAGGGATCAGAATTAACAGGATCTTTCCTGGACTTTCAGTCTTGTCTTTCATGATCTTCCCTTCAAAGACTTTTCATTTCTGAGGTTTTATTCAGAGTGTGTGTTTTCCTTTGTTTCATTTCAAATGTGCCCTCACTCCCATTCCTCATCCTAGCCAGTAAAAAATTCAGATTGTAGGTTGCCGATCACCTAGAATGTCTTCACTGAAGCTACTGGAAACCACTGCTTTCATTCCCACAAAACCAGTGTTATTTGAAGAAAAAAAAAGAGAAACAGAAATCTGTTTTATATGTAATGTCACGGTTTGTTGACGTTCTTCACTACAATCATATGTTTGTAAAATTGTTTGTACCTTGCAAACTTATGAACCAAACCATATTGGGTTTTCAAAGTGCCTTTGTATCAGAAAGTGTATGTGCCAGCAGAGAATTGTACCATCGGAGGTCATATGTGGTTTTTTTTTAAAATGGATATCCTGTAATCTGTAAAAAATAAGACTCTTCTTAGTATTATATACAAATTGTCTTTCGTGTACTTTCATCCTGCAGTTAGATATGTGAAATTTTACTTTTATCAAAAAATAAAATGTGTTATTTTACTTTTGAAATCATACTCAACTATCATATTATCGACTTTGTGGACTGTACAAACCTTTCCAAATGCATGCGTAATAGAGTTGACTTCCTAAGACATCTGCTAAATTCCAAATTTCCTTTAAAATCTAGTGTGTCTGTGAAAAATGCTTCTCTTTAGCTCCTTGTTGTTTTTAATGGACTTTATTGGTAGAAGGAAAAAGTAGTATAGACTGAAGGCAGAAATAGTTGTAAACATGGTATTTTTTCATTTTCATTCTTCAAATGCCAGATCCTGCAATTTGTTTTTCTGTGTAATCATTGCAGAAATACGTTGAGTTCAGGAATCCTAAACCATTTTATTGAGTTCAAACTATCGAAGGTAGAGAAGAAATGTGGTAATATGAACTCTTCCTAACACAAGTATCTTAGAAGTTAATAAGTTGATTTCTAGGTTCTTGTGTATTTGAAAATAAAATTGCCACTTGCAATGACAAATGCTTGAACATTCTACTCAAATTTTCTTGATGTTTTATAAAGAAATATTGATCTGCATAAACATCTTCCCACTGGACTTCATATCATCCCTGTGTGTATTCCCTTTTAATTTTAAAAAAATGAAAGTGTTTGGGGAAAACCCTTCAGTATGGAGATGATTGCTGAGATTATAGATTAATCACAAGCACCCTTTCACTGTTGGTTTCCAGGTTATCTTATTCCCAACTTCTGACCTACAATTTATCTATATCCTATTAGGAAAACAAGACCACTCAACGCTTTTCTAAACTCTTTAGATTGTAACTAATTGTGAAAGGTGTCCTTTTTGCAAATGAAGTAGTATTTTCAGAACATTTCTACTTACTGCTAGATAGTTGTAAGACTTAGAATTCCCATAGTAGCATTTACTTAAATGAGTGAAACAAGTGTTGAGATATTTCAGGAGGAACAGGCAAAAGAATTAGAAGTCCTGATAACGGTATTGTTTTTTCCTTATATGTATAATAGGTCATTTGGGAATTTGCAACCACTATGAAGCCTGATAGAATCCTGGAATGTTCCATGGGTTTTGCATATTATGGAAATGGCAGGTCTAGATGAAGGCAGGGATTTTTGAATGTGTGCCTTTAACAGCTAAATATGTGTAATAGTGCTGATATTTCATGTGGAAATAGTATTTGCACTGGCCTGTAAAGTTCAACAGTGCAGTTTGAAGATGAGGTTCAGCCTTTCACTGAGCCCTTCATTCCAAGTATAGTTATTGCCAAAAGATACATTACTTTATGTTTGATTATACTCTCAAAACATAAGGGCATGAGCATGTTTGTTTTCTTTAATAAGGCATAGAGCACTTGGCTGATGGAACTCTTTAATTTTGTCACTGTCAGAGAAGATTGCTAAGTCATATCATTTAGCAGGTTGGCATTAACATTTATGCTTAGTTAAATGTTCTTAATTAAGCTTGTGTCTGCAGCAGTAAAAAAATGGAGAAAAAAGTTACTTTTTTCTTCACTCTTAGAGTATACCTTTGTTGCATCCGAGTTCTTGGCAAGATGTAATGCTAAAACACATTGTTTCAATGAGAAATATTATTGCTATAAAATAAATCTAGAATGTTCCTACTGGTCTAACTCTTGTCAAAAAATATAGCATAATTTTACTCTTTTTAAAAAACAAAATATTCTCTGAAGAACAAATTTGTATTGCTCAGGGTAAGTTTACCTTGTCAAGTAAACTTCCCCACAGAGAAATATACATATATTGTTTGTGCTTTTAAGTCTAGATTATATGAATCAAGATGAAAGGGCTTAACATATGCATAACTTCCTTATTTTGCTGTCTGTGTACCTTTATGAAAGACCATGACTAGTTTATTATAGCTCAGTGTTAGGCTGTCATTTGCATAAGCATCGGTGGTAAGGTGTTACTGGCAGTGTGAATTTCCTTCTACTAAGACTACTTTAGCATTTTTCACAGCCTACACATATACACCAGTTACCAAAATAATGTGACTTTTGTGCATCCTTGTAAGCAGCTAATTAATTTGACTCCAAATGCAGTTGGTCATAGTTCTATAATGCTTACCTGCTTAGAATAATCCATTTTATAGCGATTGTTAATTTGGTAGCATCCTGCTATATCATAGTAGATGTCATTGCCTACCGTAGAATTTTACATCTAAGGAATCTGCTTTCCATTGAGAGCAGTTTTGTCTACCTCTCATTTTACTGATGAGAAAATTGAAGTCTAGAAAAGCTGTCATTTACTCAAGATCATAGAGATAGTTACTGGCAGAGTCAAAATTAGAATCCAGATCTTCTGAGTTCAAGTTGAAAGTTCTTTATGTTGCCTCTCATGTAGTATTTGCCTTTCTGTAAATGTGACAAAAAGCATTTATTTGTAAATAAAGGACAGCTGACCTCCATTTTTGGTATACTAAGGCACTTTACAAATGGAGTTTTATTGTCTCATTTTTCATATCTAATTAAGGTTTAGTCTATTATTTCCATAGTATTCTTTACATAAGATATAATTTTTTACTCTTTTTTACATTCTTACTCTTGTGAAACCAGTTCCTGGGTTTTTTTTTTAAAAATGATGACTTCTGTGCATTGGATACTTTTTAACTTGTGATTTTTTTTCCTCTTAATTGCCCAAGGCTAAATCCAGTTTAAGGATTGTATAGTTTCTTTATTTTGTTTAAATTCTGTGAACAGGTACTTTTTTAGAAAACAAGCTAATTCACAGGTCATACCATTTCATTTTTGCTACTGTAGTTTTCAGTCACTGGAGAATTTTTTTCATTTTTAAGATTATCTGCAGAGATAGGTAAAATTGGGCATTAACTGTTAATTCAGCAGAGTAAAATTTGAAGTTTTAATAGAATCACAAATGCTAAAGTACTAACATTTAGTCCTTCATAACAGCATTACCTTGAGAAAGCAAACTTTTTTGTCACCATCTTTAAAACAAATTATTTTCCAATTTATAAGAAGTTGGGCAGAAAAGGAAATTATGTCTTTGAAAAGCATTCACTAGACGCTTCATCAATGGAAGACTGTTTCAAAACCCAATTCCCTCAGAAGCCTTAGTGAGCCAGGTTTCTAGCACAGCATCAAGATTAATTTAAATACCCTGACAAATTTTGGATCAAGAAAGTATTTGCAGAGTAGTTCCATTTAAAGGCCAAATAAAAGTAAGTCTGTTTGATGAGGTCATTTTGGAGCATTTCCTAATTACAAATTACACAGAAAATGGATGGGATTTAACCTTTATAAGTATGTGCCAGGCTTTGTGTGAACTTTTTCGTGTTACCACATTTAAAAATTCTCATATTTCTATAAAAAATTTTTCATTATTTTATAATTGACAAGGCATTTTCAAATACATTTTCTCTTCTGGTTTTCCTGTTACCCTGTGAGGAAGGAATTTTTAACCCTATTTAAGGGATGATGATACTGTTGGGAGAGAATTTAAATGATTTGCCTGGGGGATAGCCAGAGTAGAGTACAGACTAAATCTAGCACCTTTTTTTAGGAGGATTCTGTTTTATAAGTCATTCCACAATGATAGAAAACTCTGATAAGTTATAGAAAACTCTGATAAGTTATAGCCAACTCTCCTGTAACATGAATGAGTGATCATCAAGAAAAAAATGGATACAGGAGAACAGTTAATATTATATTGCATAGACTCATTTCTTTCAATGCTCTTTATACTTATTTTCTACCTTTACCATTTAAACTTAAATCATGCAAGCTAAAAAGGGGCAATCAGACTATTATATACTTTTATTTTTTTTAAGTAACAAGTTTTACTAATATAGAGTAAGCTGCTTAAAAGAAGTTGACTCAAAAGATAAACAACTCCTGGTCAAAAAAACATTAATTAGTTTTATTAGGGAGTTTTTGTGTAAGAAGTAAAAGTAATTTTATTCTGTATGAGCAATATCTAGGATTTGATTTACAGTTTATTACACTTTTTCAAAAGGAAGAAACCTGTGCTTAATATCTGACTGAACTCTTACCATGACTGAAGATGCAATTTTAATCAAGTTTTTTGAAAAAGTATTTGTTTCATACATTCCCTTACCTTAAAATAGCATGAATTTATACTTACATGCTTGACAAATGTTTGGTTAACTATTGAGTAAATATTATAGATAGTAGTGGACACAAATGTCAGTGTTGGGGACAGGTAAAACCAGTAATTGCAGTTTGTTACAGAAGACATCTCAGCTTTTCTTTGCACAAATGGACTTTTTTGGCCTTTTCAAGTAGTTCTGTGAACTATTCATTTTAATATAGTGGCGGTATAGAGATGCTTGCATGTTGGACAAGATTTTGGCAGAGCTTGGACTGTGGGATCTGGTCACTTGAACTTTTATATCCTGTATATACGAGTGAGGAACCACATTTCCTACTTCTATGGAAAACTGCCATTTTTGTATTACTTTAAAGACATGTACAGAAGTATAGCAAGGCTTGTCATTTATCCCCAGGTACATTGTCATCCTATGCCCACAGTTCTATCTTGAAGGTGCTTCTATAAAAACACATAATCTATATTCATTAAGTCATTTAAAATATTCCAGGATAGTTTTTTTTTTCTTTTTCCCTCAAGATACTAAGTTTTAGTAGAACTGTGCTATATTTATTGACTTTTGTTATATTTCTTCATTGCTGCTGCCACTGTAAAACTCTTCCCTTTTTTATTGGAGGAGGACAAAAGCTTGATTTTGAATTTTAACATTGGAAGTGTTTATTATGCATGTGGCTTCACTAAAGATTCTATATTTAAATTGACATATCCTTCCAGGAGTTCCAAGTAATCCATTTCTTCCTGTAATAACAACAAATTCAATGACATTTCTGCCTGAGTGATATTTTGCCCCAACATTTGTAAGTCTGACAATAAACAGAATGAAAATTTTATATCAGAAATACTGTGAATGAAAAATTGCCAAATGACTTCTTACTATATTCTAACATCACTACAACACTTTACCTCCCTGTCTTTACTGGTTTCTAATTATATGACCAAGTTGAACTTAGCTTGATTCCGTTGGTGAAGATTATGGAGAACATCAAACATTTCTGAAATGTTTGAGTAGAAGGCTGAGTTGGAATGCCATATTCCAAAGACTGTTGTAAGTTGGTTTAAATATGCTAAGTGAAAAATTATGATTTGCCTAAGTAAAATGCAACAAATCCATATTGTATATTTCACTTTTTTCTACTTGAAAACATTCATGTATATATTTTGTTTAATCTCAGATGTATTTAAAGAGTAAGAAACAATTGTATCAAAATTCTTCAATAAAATTTCTGTTTAAAATTTTTTACCTGACTTGTGTCTGTCCGTTTGATGCATTGAAAAGCACATCGTGAACTTGACAGTTATTGGAATAGATTCTAAAAGACTTAAGAATGAAAGGGAAAGAAGAATGATATTCAAGAGCAGAAAACAGAAAATTCATCAGAATAGAAGAAATGGTAAGAGATTGGAATTAACATGGTCTGGCGCCTCACTTGTAGGTCTTATTTTTTTACTTCATTAACACATCTCAATGAATTTTATTTCCAGGTAAATTGCTCTCTCAATTCATTCTCTCATGACTTCAGTTTATAGGAAATGAAGACTAAGAGTATCTGAAACAAGCCTCCTTTATCTTTCGACCTTTTCCTCTTTTATAAGAAGCAATTCTTTAAAATAACTTATCCACAAAACCCCAGATCCCACTCACCCACCTTCTCAAACATATTTCCACCAAAGCAGCCTCTTGTCTATGAACCCCTGCCTCACAATAAAAGTTTTATTCCCAGTGCCTGTTGTGGTGTTTCGCCCACCTCTAACCCATCTCCATAGATCCTAGTAATAGGCTTTACTACACTATTTTGTAGAAGTTAAATCAGGGCCACCAATGGCTTTTTACAAATACAGGACAAAACTACCAGCATCTCACATTCAACAGAAAGAAAATATATTTATCTTTCCTATTCAAATCTCTTCTCAACTACTAATTGCTGTCAGAGGTTTTTACAAAGTTACTAGAAATCTAAACAGTGCCTTTATTACCTCTATTTCCTGAATCCCCTTTCTCAAAAGTCTTTTGTCTTTATTCTTTGAAATCTTGAAAGTTTACCTTTTCCCATTGCCTTTTTTTTTTCTTCATTGTTGGCTGAATGCAGATTCACTCTGAGGAAATGTCTGGCTTTCCCTTTCTTCCATTTCCCCCCACCTTACCCCACCACCAAAATAATTCTGATCATCAATGGGAAATAAAAAGGAATTTCTGCTGAGTCAGTCTTTGCCCAGGCCTTTCAAAACATTTCCCTTACAGAGGTTTCCTGACTACCTTCTGTTGGCCGTTCTGCATACTGGACTTCGACCTGTTAGAGCTGGAGGTCCTGCATGTTACTTCCTACCTTTCCTGTGTCCTATATATATAGTTTGAGGCAAGCTACAGACTACATCTCCTTACCGAATCTTATCTAATATTTTGCTGCTTTCTCTTCACAAGCCACCTTGTGTTAAATAAACTGACAGAATAAGTAAGCTCCTCAATTTCTACTTTTCGTACTCTAGCTCAGGGATCTTGAATAGCTTAATGAGCTCCAGTGCTCATCAATGACAAATTCCTCTGAACAACTTTAGAATCTTACTTTTTTTTCTTTTCTCATTCCATCTCATTATCCATGCTGTGGCACTAAGTCAACTTTTCATTAAACTAGAGAAACAGCAAAAGGAGGAGCAAGCAGGTCCAATAGATAGATGCAGATGGAATGACAGCAATTCAGCATTTTCATTTTGTAAAAAAAAAAAGCGTATTCTAATGAGATTCTAGTTCATTCAAACATCTGCCAGCTCATTCAACTCTACTCCAGGCTTAAAATTAATCTACCATGAAGTTCAGACTTAGCACATGCTATCAACATTTAAATGTCCAACGTTAGCTGCTAAATTTCTAAAACGAAGAAGGCTAAAATGGTAACCGCAAGATAATACTCAAATGCATGTGGTCTGGCATAGTTTTAAGTAATTTACTTTCTTTAAATGATTAATTAGCTTTTAATATGAAGTTTAGCTCCTCTTTGAAAAATGGTTCTGCAGATTTTTAAAGGGAAGTATATTCTTTTGTAGGACAGTCACTGCTAAAGCCAAAGGATTAAAAACAAAGCAATACAATAAAAAAACCAACCCCTGCATATTTTCTGAATACATATTAGTATTTTAAAAGGGTGATGCTGTGTAAGTAAGTAGGAAACTCAGATTCACACTTAAGCACAGGTATAGTTTCACAGCAATTAGAACTCTGCCATTTGGCTTGAACTTTTGAAAATATTGTAACCACGTCTAAAATGATAAATAAAAGACCTGTGTACCATCAACAAACCACTAAGTTAGTTCAGACTGACGTTCAGCTTAATGAGGGTTCTCTCCTGTATGTCCATCATCCTATTTCTCAAGTAATAATTTGTACACAAGTCGTGTTACTTTGTACATACAGAACCTCAGAGCAAGACAAAGTTATGACATTGTCGTCATAGGAATTGGAGCCAATTTCCCATTGATTTCAAACACAAAGGTAAAGATGTACCCTGAAATTTCTAGAGTACAGTAAGTAAAAAGTTTTGGGGAAAAAAATACTGTGCTGACAAAGAACAAAGGGGACTCTCTTAGAATGCCAGTGGGAATTCTAAATGATACTTAAGAACCATCTTGGCAGTTTATTTAAAAATGGACTTCTTATATGTTCCATTGATCTACTTCTGGGTATCTATTCTAGAGAAATAAACCTTATATTCACATAGAAATCTGTATGTGAATGTTTTTAAAATTATACCAAATGCTAGAAAGTGCAATCACCAATAGTGATTGAATAAACATATGGTTTATCTACATAAAAGAGTATTGCTACTGCTCACAATAGCCAAGATCTGTAAACAACCCAAGTGCCCAACAGTGGATGATTGGAGAAAGATGGGATATTAAAATGGACATGGGTGAGCCCTGTTAAGTAAATCAGAAGGAGAAAGAAATAATATAGGATTTCACTCATTGGTGGAATATAAAGAAACAAAAACAAAACCACAGTTAGATTCTGTTACCAAAATGATGGTTACCTGAGCGGGGCCTAAGCTAGAAGGCCAAATAATTGGTGGTAGGTAGTGACTGGACTAAATGATTATTGAGTGATATACGGTGTTCTAAGCCTATGCTGCCTTGATGTATTTTAAATGTCACTTGTCTCTTAACATTATGACAAAAGAATTTTTTATATTTACCTCGAATTTACATGAAATTATATTTTGAAATTTTATTTAAAATTATACTTTAAGTTCTTTATCCTTAGTTTTTGGACAATCCTCAGATGTAGGATGCAAAGTCTTTATTATTCAAACAGTAATTCTAGCATTTGTTGCAAAGCCCAAAGTGCTGATCAAATCTTATGAACTTGCTGAGATTCAAATGTGAAGCTGCTTTCTCTTGCAAAGAAGAGCAGTAGTTTCTGCTCAGCTTTTCCAGAATTCCAACTATTTGATTTTCCACTAACTTTGCTTAATGTCTTCTCTTCAGCTGCATGCTTCAGGAGTTAGCCGAAGATTAAAGGTATTGTATGTGTCTGTGCCACCTTCATTTCTAGAATTTCATCCTCCAATTCCTCTAGCAGCCCCCCAATTCCTCTTTCAAACATGTAGTACTCCCATTCTTGAGTTCTAGACACTTCTTGCAAGTCAGCCTGGGGAATGCTCTGAGGGGAAAAGTCTTATTAGCAAGTTCTCATAATGCTTTTAGTTCTTTCCCAGTGCTTTTAGACAACTATTTATTATGTTTTCCCCACAGTTTATAATTGGGAGGGCTTGTACATTACAAGTTATTTCACTATTACTAAGTCTGGAAGTCCTCCATTTTATTAATCTTAAATGTTTGTTTTAATGCCTAAGAAGGAAACAGTACAGACCGCTATTTAAATGTTGGCTTTCTTTTCTTTTGTGTCCAAGAGATTGAAAGTGGACAGATTCATACATGTATTTAAATATCCTTTATCTCAAAAGAAATTAAATATGCCAAAATAATCTCTTGCAAACTGATGCTTTCAGGAAGTAAAGAAGAACTTGCTCAACAAATTTACTGAACAAAGCAGTCAGACAAGTTGATGAGGCCATGGAAATACTCACTGAGATCAACTAAACTCACATGTAGCAAAGCTCTTTCTTTTATGAACTAACAATATAAAACCCCATGTTTGTCATGAAACATAACAAAGTGTTATTTAGAACTAGTAAGAAGAATGTGATAACTGGTATAGACATACATACCTATATATGTGTCTGTATATATATGAGCCTGTTAAGTAAGTGGGATGAAAAATCTTGAGTAATCCATTGTCTTCAAACGTAATTTTATTTTGTAATCAGCAATTTTGTACTTGTCTGCTTGAATGTGAAAACAAATGGTAACTGTATGTGGCTGACCAAACGTTCATAATTCAGTCATTGTATAACCTCCAAAATCCAGCGGAGCATAAGCCACATATTAGGGTGTCAGCTCAACAACATAAGTCAATTCAGAACATCGTTTGAAGGCGTGTGCTCAGTTGAGCTCAAGAGCACTGGGGTTAACTCCTCCTACCTCATTTATTCAAACTCATATTAACTGCAGCCAGGGCAACCCATCTTGCAGTCAAGGAGGTGCCTGGCTTTTTTAGGAAGAATAAAGTTTCACCTGTGTAAACTGGTTTTCTAAGTAAAAATTGCTTTTCTGACAACTCTGTCTAGGGATGTCTAGTTACAAGTTCTCCAGCTTGACAAGTGTCCTATGAGTTCTTCCTGAAAAATTGCCAAAAGTGTAGCAACAAGCATCCAGGGAAAACTCTAACAGAAAACAAAGAATTGCTGCGTCATGTCTTTCTTCTCGGTCACTTATTTTATACTTATTTGATAAACCAAATAACCTCCCTGCTTATGTTATATAAATAGGTGTATGGGCCCATATGGCTGAAATGAACATCTTAATGGAAGGAAATGCAAATGCCCGTGTTCACAGTCCATCAGTGCTCTGGGATTCTGTGCTCTCTTCTGATAGGGAAAACAGACTTAGCATCTCCAGTTCCAGAGGATGCATGCTGCCTCCTGTGATAATCAGAGAATGCAATGGTCCTCCCAGGTCCACAGTGCACATCTGTTGCAAAGTGCCTGCTGCGATTTTCTGGTCCTCAGCTCCAACCCTGGCTAAGCCTACACAGAGTGTTTCCTCGGTGACTGCTGTTTAAAAAAAAAAAAAAAAAAAAAGGTAAGCTAAGCTACTGCCATTCAGGTTAGCAAATGCATTATCATGGTCAACATCCAAACTCACAGTGGTGACAAAAGTACATTTAGAGAAGCCCCAAATTTCTTCAATCTCCCTAAGCACTCATTATGAACTTTATCAATTGTAAGATCTTAAATGATGCAAAACCTTTGGAATTTTCAGTCAAATGGGAAGTATTACTTTATATGCCAGTGACTGCATAACATTTAAAAACCTCAGAAAAAATAATAATTACCTTTATCCAATACTTTATCACTGCATACCATTTGTCTTCAAACAGATTCAGATTGAACAATGCTTATTACAAGATTGTATTTTTTTTTTTATTCATACATATAGATCTGGGGTACATGCCAGAGATGCTGAGGGTGAGAGGATTCATCAGAGACAGAGAGGGGAGCAGAACAGGCAGATGGATGAAGTACACTGCTGAGGGGAGCAGCGGGCGGGTCAGGAGAGGTCTGCCACGCCATGTGGTCACCTCAGGGGCAGGCGGGAATCGAACTCATGCGGAAGTGGCTTAAGCTTCTTAGTGCAGTACTTTAACCTGCTGCGCCACCAGGGAGGGCCACAAGTTTGTATTTTTAATAACTTTCTTGAGATATATGAAAAACCGTGATGTTACGAAATAGATACCTAAATTTGACTTTCTGCTTGGTCACTAAATCAGCATGTAACAAATTTAAATTTTTTCATTTTTAAAAATAAAATCTTTTTTAAATGGTAATTTTAAGGGGTAAGAGAGAATAGATAGGAATTAAGTAGACTATAGCGCCCTTAACAATAATGGGAATTTAACACTACTTATGCTTTTGAGTTCAAAATGACCTATATTAATGAACTTTAACAATATTCACTCTGGTGCACCAGCTAAAGGACTATTGTTTAGTTGAGAAAGTCATCTGGCTTTATTATTTAGTTGAGAAAGTTTTCCTAAGTGAACAATGTTCAAAATGGGGTAAATGATAATATGAAGAGAAACAGGCCCACGGGGAGCTCTGCACAGTTATGGATACAGGGCACTCTCTCAGTTTCATGACTTTATTATTTTTTTAATTAGAGATTTATTTTTATTTATGCATACAAGAACTGGGGTGCAGGCCAGAGTTGCAGGAGGTGAGAGGATTCATCAGAGACAGTGGGGAGCACAGATGAGCAGCAGGTGAGACAGGAGAGATCTACTGCGCCTTGTGGGTCAGCTCCCTGGCCAGGGATCGAACTCATGCTGCAGTGGCTGTGGATAGCTTGTGAGCTTGATAGCACTGACTTTAACCCCTGTGCCACCAGGGCCCCTGTTTCATGACTTTAATCATCTATTGAAGAAAGTAAGCGGTTACTCATGATTTCTGTGTATCTTTTCTATCAAGGATAGCTGCTGAAAGGCAGACAGAGCTTTAAAACAGAACATGATGACAGGTTCTGACAGGTTCATCAAAGAGCCTCTCATTAACTTTTACTGACAGTAACATTGTGTTCTTTACTACAGTGTCTAGATATTAGGAATACAAGGATAAAGTCTCGTGTTTTTAGCCTGAAGCCTACTATTCTGGTGTCAGTGTTGAGAATAAGAAAAAGCAGAATATGTTTTTGCAGAACAGAACTTGTCATAGATCTGGGCTAAAATAGAAGTTCTGTAATATTTACATATTAACCTATTTGCATCAAATCTAATTTATAGTTTGTGAAACTAAACTTCACTTTCTGAAGTAGTATCAGTTTTACTAGAACTCCATTGTTCTTTCAGTACAACTTTCAGCATATGAGATTTATATGCTGAAATAGTTAAAATAGTGGAAAAATGAAAAGAAAAAGCACAAATGAAACAGTGCTGTTCGTGTGTGATGATGTGTCAGATCCACATCTTAGTGCGTCAGCGGGGGAGAATGAGAAGATTTTAGGGTCCCAAGTACCTGGTTCTTCTCCTTGTAGTCTTTGATTCTGAACAATCTCCAGAAGTTGCTGGGCTGCCTGGTTTACACTCATATAACGAGGTGGTTCATAGATCTTCCTTCCCCTGTAAATATAAAACCAGATGCCACTGTGCCTACCCATGAAACTATATAATGCATTATTAATGCAATTACTCCCTCAGGTACGCCAGTCTACCTTCTGTTTGAAGCTTTCACATGACCCATTTTAAATACACACTCAAATACAAAGCAGTGATTCTTTATCTTTAGTTTCTCAGGCTTATTTCGTTATTCTATTTCAACTGCCTGTTGATCTTCCTGAACTGGTGGTAGGAAGTCAAAGCTCAATAACTTAACCATAAATAGCTAACCCAAAGTTACTTTCACTCAAAGTGTTAACTCAGGCAAAAAGAACTCAAATAATTGGCAATATATTCTGTACTCTAGCTTACTCAAGTCTGTAGTGCTCATTTTTACTGCCATGTTTAAACCACATAGTCCTCTTTGCATTTTTCTTCTAAGAAAAAGTAAACTAAAGCAATAATACCTTAGAATTTTTTTTTAAAGCAGTAAATATCTAGATATCTTATAGGGTAAAATATATTTAATCCCATATGCTCAGGAGCCTACCAGGTTTGCCCAAGGATCATAATAAAAATATTATAGCTTTGTAGCTTATAAAAAGTTTATGTAGATTATTTTACTCAACTATTTCCTAAGCCAGTACTGTCCAACAGAAACAGAATGTAAACCACAAACATGATTTTATATTTTCTAGTAGCTATATTAACAAAAATAAAAAACAGTTAATTTTAACAATATAGTTTATTCAAATCAACAGATTCAGCAATATCCAAAAGACTGTATTTCAACATTCATTCCTATAAAATAATTTTAAAGATTGTTTTTGTTTTAAATCTTTGAAATCTGGTATGTATTTTACATACCAGACATAGGGACTCAAACTTATGCCTTCTGACTCTCACTGTATTAATTCACTCCACAAATACCATATCATATCTATGAAATGTATTACTATTTCTACTTTATCACACTGCTTATTTTAAAAGATTAAACGCATTCTATTTTTAACTTAATAAAACTGATTTTCAGCACTCTTTACAACTCATGGCATTTAAATAGAATTTGCTGAATTATTCAAGGCATTAAAAGACATCTAAGTAACCTTAGAACAAGAACTTACTTGATTAGATTTTCCAAAGACTGCTCCTTTACTTTGATGTCTGTAGGAAGCAATAAATAGTTTTTTAATTTAATTAACACCTTAAAACCCTCTGGATGAACTTATTATCTAAATTTTGGGGAACTTCTCCCATCTCCAAAATATTATTGGAGAGTTTGTGAGTCTTCCCTCACATGGCCACTTTTTAATGGAAATACGTAGAAGAATGGAAGTCTGTGTTTGCTTAAAAATCATAAGTCAGAAAACAAGCTGAAGTCAGCCCTGAGACCATCCTGAAAGGATCTAATTTCTTCTTGGAAAAGAAGACACAGGAAGGAGTTAGATAAATATTGGCATATACACTACCTAACAGCTAATAAAAATCTTTGTGTTTTTCTACTAGCTGGTGACTGCATAAGCCCAACTGAAAAGTCTTGGTATGTTTCTGATCTCGTCTATTTTTTAGGCACCAGAATGTAAGCTTCAATGTATGTAACATAAACAAGCGAAATTCTTACATTTTGAAAGGAGACTCTGCTTGCTGATGAATGGTAAGACATGACCTAATAACTTACGAATTAACACTTTAAAACCAAGTGACACATTTCTAAGAGGGCTGCACTGCAGGTACTAGCAGGTACAGGGCTACCTCAGCAGCAGAACAATCTGCTCTCATGCAGCCTGACAGTTCAGCATCACAAATATTTGATCTTTCCAATTTAATCATGATGCTCAGCTGCACTATTTAGTAAAAGGTAAAGAAGCAGTATCGCTGTATCCTCACAGGAACTCTGTATACATCAGAGCATGCAACAGCTGTTTCCTGTCCTACATGCTGAAAACAAATGGTTCAGCCAAAGTGTGTTTATAAAAATATAAATATAGTGCAATGGAGGGATCTTTTTGATAGATTTCTACAACTCTTCCATGAAGTGATTATAAAGGTTTTTCATATAAATGATACAAAACAGTTTGCTTGGAAATATAGGAGATTAAACTCATACATGTATTTCTCAATGTGCTTAGAACCAAAGGTGAAAGTACTTTTCAAATACTTTCAAGTACTTTGAAATATCACTATTTAATACTTTCATTTATCCTTCATATCTAGGAAAAATGCTCATTAATGTGGACTATGTTATGATTAATAATAAGGCAACAAAGATTTCCTTTATATGATAGTTGTAAGATTTTATTTTTTTAAGGTTTTTAGAAAGTCAACATATTCATCTTGAGCTTCTGAATTTTGTGATACTAAGGTGTTTTATTTAATAGTTTCAATATTTTTATTTTAAATGATTTGATCTACAGAATCTGTTTTTTAAAATGAAGATCATTGGGGAGAATTTTTACAGGCAAATGCCTGTAAACTTACGCTTTAATCAAACATAAGATTGTATCGGTGAATTAACTTCAAATCAGACCAATCTAAAACTTGTCGCCACACAATTATTCCTCTGTACCTCTACTTGCGAGAATACAAGTATCTCCAATTCATCTTAGTGCCAAGACCCAATAAAGTACAAAGAACCTAGTAGATAACTCAAAAAGTTCACTGACTAAATTTGCTCACGAGATACTCTTAAATCTACCTCTAGCTCCTCTTAAATTGTTCTCTCCTTAAGTAGCTTAAGTCCCAACTTTTTATAAAGCTTTTTTGACTTCCTTTCAAATGCCCTTTCTTTGAAATATCTATTCAATTAATGTTAAATTTTATTGATCTCTATTTCATATGTCAGCTTAGCTTTTCTAGGTAAACTTTAAATTCTCTGTAGTTCCCTACCATGGTATATTTACACCAATCCCTACAGAGTTTGGTTCAAGGCAAGCATTCAGTAAATAGATACTAATTTAAATGATGAGAATTCCAAATGGCCAAATGCAGTAGTGTTATGGCTTGAAGATTTGGAGTCATGGTATCTTATACTTTACACCTTCTTCCTGCTTTTGTTAATAGAACAAGGATGATATATTGTTCAACCTTGTTTGTCTTTTCCCAGGAAAGCTAAGAAAGGAGTTAGCTCTTAGAAAGGGGGCTTAGGAGCCAAAACTCTGGTTTGTCCTTTCTGCCTGTCTCCACAATAGACCTTGATTATTCTTTCATTTTACATACACATAGCATGATGATCACAAAGTATATTTCAAACCTGGAGGACAGCATCCAAGTCTAATATTTCTTTAGTATTCTAAAAAAAACTTCCTCCTCATTGAACAAAGTGAACATTCAGTAAATGTCTGTAAATTGGGGCCCTCCCTGGTGGCGCAGCGGGTTAAAGCACTGCACTGAGAATCTAAAGCCGCTTTCGCATGAGTTCGATTTCCGCCTGTCCCGGAGGTGATCCACGGAGGTGATCCACATGGCGTGGCAGACCTCTCCTGACCTGCCCACTGCTCCCCTCAGCAGTGTATTTCCTCCATCTGCCTGTTCTGCTCCCCGCTCTGTCTCTGGTGAAGCCTCTGGCAGCCCCTGAGCCTCTGGCCTGTATCCCAGTTCTGAGCTCTGTATGCACAAATAAATAAATCTTAAAAAAAAAAAATCTGTAAATTGATTTACTAATGGCAGTCCCAAAACCTTCTTAGAAAATTGATGCTACTTTCCCTCTCAATCCCCATTTTCTTTTTAAAGATTTATTTATTTATTCATATGGAACTGGGGTACAGGCCAGAGATGTGGATGGTGAAAGGGTTCACCAGAGACAGAGTGGGGAGCAGAACAGGCAGATCTATGAAGTACACTGCTGAGGGGAGCAGTGGGCGGGTCAGGAGAGGTCTGCCACTCCACGTGGTTACCTCCGGGGCAGGCGGGAATCGAACTCATGAGGAAGTGGCTTTAGCTTCTTAGTGCTGTGCTTTAGCCCTCTGCGCCACCAGGGAGGGCCTTCTCATGCCCTATTTTAAACGGTGATGGGGAGGTTATCACATAGTCTTACTCTTTTATGATTTTTCCCTGTTCTGTCCTAAACTTGCTATGTTTTGCTATAATGTAGACATACACACACATTTTTGAACTCCAGTGAATTTCTAATTTTTCAGTTTAAGTGTACTTGTATGTTTTCCTTTAACAAAGGTCTTTCTAACAGCTGTGCTGCTCCCATCATCTGCTTTGACCTTCTAAACATAGTTGGTCATAACTGATTCAAAGTTTGGGATAACATGATGAATCAGTCTAATGGTGTTCATTCAGACAAATGGAACAAGTATAATATGTTTGTCAGAAAGAACTTTCAAAAAAGTAATACCTGTCTCTTTCTGTATGGAAAATTCAAAGACAAAACTATAAAGCTAATTAACTGCATTTACAATAAACCAAGAAAATGTCATATAGGTGGGAGATAGGTATAATAATAATAATAAAAAAAATTTACATAAGTATTCACAGTCTAAATTAGACCTAGAATAAACTGTCAATGTGGATGGAATAAAAAGAATATATGCTGGCTGACACTGAATGAACCAGAAAAAGAAGGTTTTTTTAAAAGATTTATTTATGCATAAAAGAGCTGGGCCTACGCCAGGGTGCAGGGGGTGAGAGGAGTCACTAGAGACAGAGTGGGGAGCAGAACAGGTGAACTGACTGAAATACACTGCTGAAGGGAATGGCAGGCAAGATAGGTCTGTTGTGCCATGTGGGTCACCTCCCTGGCCAGGGATCAAACTTGGGTAGCTGTGGATAGCTGCATAGTGCTGTCATTTAACCCTTTCTGCCACGAGGGAGGCCCCTCCTATCAGTACCATTATCTTGGCACACAAAGACAGTGATCCCACTTCTTTCCATACTAGGTAGGAAATAACATTTGGATACCATGACACTATGAGAAGAACTGTGATAACAGATTCTCTGGATGCCTCCAAAAAGTTGGGTGACAGTGGGCAAATGATTCAGTATTTCTCAGTCTTAATTCAGTCTGAACAGGTTTCAATAATGATCTCTAGTGTGTCCTTCAGATCTATACTGTGATTCTGATACCATCAGTGTTTCAATAGTCATAGGACCTCTCTAGAAAGACACAGGATGTCCTGGTAAAAAAGAAGTGTCAATACAAGTCTCTAGAATACAGTCAACTGATAGAACATGGTCTTGATGGACAAATGGATAGATACAGAATGACGGGAGAGACTGTTAGGGCATAAGACGGAGCAGAATGAACACAGTGTATGCACGAATAGCCCCGTGGTAGATAGAGGAGAAAATGCATGTGTCCCTGGGAGTAAGGGAGTGTGTGGCATGCACAGAGTGCTAAACTATAGCCTGTTTTATATCTACCTATTTGCCCACTAAGCAGTTTTACCTTGACATAAGACCCAAGTGAGAACACAGGACAACTCCATACTGGACGTGAAGGACAGACAAGGCCCTTACCTAGCAAGCATAAGGTATGCATGCCGTTCTGCCTGTTCTTCTTCACTTTGTCAAAAAAGCTTTCTGGTCTCCAAGTGTCTGTCCAAAAAACAATAGAAACTGTCTCTCCAAACTTATACAACTGGAAAAAAATAAAAACATTAATTAATGATGGAAAAATTCACTAACTATAATTTCATAGATAGTTGAAATAAAAAGCGGGAACCAGACTTGACATGGGTTAGGACTAAAATCTGTTGCAAACAAGGTCATGACATTTCTTGTTGGTCCCTCATTGCTGGAGGCTTTCTGAGGCCCTTCCAGAAGTAGGCTTCTAGTTTTTCTTCATTTAGTACAGGAACCTACTATTTAGCTTTGTGGCCCAAGGCCAAAGGCTTCTGTGTAGTTGTGACATGGTTCACAAAATTACTATTATCATTCTCATTTCAGAGCGAAACCAGCGCTTAGAAAGATCAACATCCTTGCCCAAATTCAAACAGCTAATTAGTAATGATAAAACAACATAAGCCTACGTCAGGGAGTACTCTCTGGCACCATGTACCTCAGCAAAATTTACACATTGGACACTCACTCCAGCCTCTACCTTCTAACTTTATCCCCTATTTGTTCTCTCACTACAGAGTCCAAAATGAGGGTCTTTTCCTGAACCTTTCCTACCAAATGCCCTCCACCCCATTCCACACCTAAGCAGCTTGCTTAGTTCCAGGCTAGCTGCACGGTTCACGTAAGTAAGTCCAACTTCAGATCTTACACTGAAAAATATCTGGTCTCAAATTCTGGTTCTGCAACTTGTTAGCTATGTGACATTACTGTTGCTAAGTCTTTATCTATGAAATGGGAACAATGGTAAAATACTGTCCTTCCTACCCATAGGGTCGTGAGGATCAAACAATATGTAAAAGGTTCCAGTGAAAAATTTCTGTATGGTCACATGCTGATAGGAATTCTTTTTAGGCACTATGCAAAGACCAGTAATTTCCAACTTAAAATCAGGTAAAACATAACACTATGGTTGTTATGTGAGAATTTAGTTATCAGTGTTTGAAATAATTAATAATAGAGCTAGCTATCACATCTAGTCTTCTGCCCTGAAATAGCTCTAAGACTCAGGAATTCACCTCCTCTTTTCAGAGCCTAAGATTCTTCATTTGGAAAATGAAGAAACTAGTCTGAGAGGGGATTATCACCTAAGGCTTCTCAGATCCATTTTCAGAAGCTGTAGTGTGAGGTAAGGAAAAGGCAGATAAGAAGGAAACAGAAATTGGAGCATTCAGGGCCCTCTATTCAGTACCCCTAAAAAAGCTTTCTTAGTTTTTACATGTTGGGGTATTAAAAACTATAATGGTACTCAGAATAGTGACTGAGTTCCCAAAGGGAGGTTTATCATGCTTCTACTATGGCTACCCTCCAACTTACCTACTTACCTGCTTACCCTCAAAGTCCTTTCAAAAACTAAAGCAAGAAGTTATTTACCCACAGGAGATGTGCTAGCAGTCTAATTCACAGACCAGCGTGCACCATCCCATTTATCAAAGTTCAGAATCCTAAATCCCCCTGCCACATCAACAAGGTTTCTCTGTGGCAAATTCCAATGTGGGGTTCCAGGAAGACATTTAGCTGAGCAACAGGAGTGGCCCCTGGCCCTTGGGGCTGCTGTTATTGTAATTGTTCTACAAGAGGCAACTTCATGTAACATGCTATAGATCATGCACTGTCTGCCAGACATTAAGTTATATTAAGCATAGGTATTGAAGTGAGGAGCAATACAGAACTGTGGCTCCCACAGAGTAAGCTTTCACACATCATGCAGGAAAAACTTTCCACTCGACCTCTGTTTTTTTATTAGTTAGGTGATTATGAACAAATCAAGTAACCTTCCTGAAAGCAGGAAGAATTCTTGTGCAAAGTGGATATTTTAACAATAAGCCTAACAATGTGGGTTTTTTTTTTTAAGGATTAAATTGCATAAAGCATGTCAATTGCCTAGTACCTTACATATATCAAAGAATAAATGTTAGAGATTCGATGAAATCCCTTTAAGTAACATAAGATATAAAAATCGATGTTCAGATGTAATCCAACTATTTTCCTTATGGGTGAGTTCAAAAATATTACCAAGTATTTTAAGTTATGCTTAAGATCTAATTCTGACAAGTTCAACTATTTCTATTCTAAAAAGGATTTTTGGCATCTCTATAATCTGGTTTTTTAAATCTTAGAATTAGTCCATATAAAATTTAAGGGAAAACTATTAAAGTTAAAGAAACTGTATGTGTAAATATATAATAATACTTTAAATTGGTCTTGAAGATTTTAAGAGTCATAGAAGTATAGTCATGGATGTAAATAACTATGATCTCATTCAAAAAGTAAGGGAAAGAGCATTTAAAAGAGAATTTAAATGCTAGTCACGTATAAACACTAGCTGAAGTATCTGGTATAAAAGTATCTTTGAATTGTCTATTTTGGGGGGAAAAAAGCAAGCTCACATAAACACTGGTTTCTAGAACCCTGATTTATAAACTCTAATCATTCTCCTGGCTGTGGTACCAACTTCTTCAATGAATTTGGGAACATTATGCAAACAGTTGCACCATTTAGATGTCAGTATCTCAAAGAACAGAAGGACTAGTCCTTTGTCCTTTGTTTTTTACAATCCAAAGGACTGACTAGTAAAATATAAAAAGAAACTGGAGCAAAATCATACTGTGATGAGAACTGAGTTTGGAAGCCTAAGCCCTGTCATGAAGTGTCAGCCTCCTGTGATGCAGCCATTTTCCCCAAACATAACTGATGTAACTGTAAATTTAAAGACTATGAAAAGAGCTGTTTTCTAAGGAACAGTAGGTAAACAGAATACTGGTCTTGAAGTTTTGCGTTTTTTTTTTTTAATCTTCATAAGCATTTTAATATCGAAGCAACACTGATATTTGTATATGGTCACCTACTCCATATATAAAGTTTTCATCTGTTTTTACAAGAAAGCCATGTAGCTTATCTTTGTACACATAATTGAGAGAATCCACATGAGTTTTAGGCATATCATTTCAAAGATAAAATCCAACTGCATTGGAGTAGTAAATAAATAAGCAATTTAATTAAGGAGGTATTTGTTACATATTGATTCTATGCCTGGCATATGATATAGTGTAAGGTATGATACAGAGAAAAGTAAATCAAGGAGTTTGTAATCTGGGCAGTGCACAAACATATTCACTTAACTGAAAATCCTGTGTAAAATGGGGATTTACCAGGATTGTTTGAGCATAACAATAGCACAATCAGATCTACAATCTGAAAAGGAAATTGTAAAGGAGAAAAGAATGATGCTAATTTATAGTGGAAATGGAAAGGGGCTGGGGGAATGTAATAAACCCATGATTTGGTAGGTGGTCAAAATACTTTCTAAGAAACAAAAAGAATCGAAAGCTCAAATGAGTTCTTCCAGGTTTACATACCAACGTAGAGCACTGATATCCTTATTATCTAGTTTAGTGGTATCTGCACAAAGTTAAGTTTTGTCATTTCTACATTAGTCCCTTGACAACAATGAAACTAATTTAATGCCCTGAAAACTAACAGTAAGAACTACAAGGGTAACAGTCAAAGTGGAAGTGTTTTCTAATTAGAAAATCATCCATCCTTTTGCCTGAAGTGAACACAACACACACTACAACTTTTATGCATTAAACATTACTACCTGTTTTGTAGACTGGTTTCATTTACCTGTCCTTTAAAATGTCTCAAAATTGTAAAGAATTACTATGGTCTGTCATGCAAGTAATTAATACTAAATACCAAAGGAAATCATTCTAGAATTTGTAACTTTTCTACTTGGTTTGTCAGATCTGGCTGAAAGTATATATATTAAGTGTTGAATAAAGACTGAAAGAAAATACACTAGAATGGTAACTACAGTTACTTTTACACAGTGGTCTACATAAGCTTTTATTTTCTGCTTTATACTTGTAAGGGAATGTAAGTCATTTATTATCACGGAAGTTTTTAAATTTTCTTCCAAAATAGAAATCATGGTATAGGAAGGCAATCATGATTAAACTGCCAGAAACTTGTGCAGAAATGTTAAACTTCAAGAATTCAAGAAAAGTAGGAACTTGTCTTCTGTGTTTCATGAAAAATCCTCGATGTTTCATTATTAGGAATATTTAAGTACAATCAATTTGCCTGGCTCTACCAAAAAAAGGGATTTTTTTTTTTTGGTTAGAAAAATCCCCAAAATAGAAATAATGTATTAGGTATAGCTGATATTTAGGAATTTCAAATAAATGATTTTCAAGTATTCATGTTTAAATCTAATATTTAATTGTTTAAAATCTTAAAATTTACTTGATAAATTTTGAGCATATAATATATCTTGATCAAGGTAACCGTAGCCTGAAATTGGAAAGTAAATTAGCTTTTTAGCGTCTAAGCTTATCGGATAGCAAAGCTTATATAGTTTAGAATGTCTCATACTTTTTAGTGACAAATCTTTTTTTCCAAATGAATTCTTAAACAGAACATTAATAGCATTAAAGATAATAATTAGGCTCCTTGGGGATTTAAATCTTTGTTGCTTAGTGTTAATTACTTCATTATATGCAGAATCCCTAAAGCATCTTCATAAATCATGGGGCAGTTCGAAGCCACTGATCTTCACAGTACTCTTCCCTCCCCTCCCCTCTATCACTATAGTTAAGAAAAATAAAATGCAGAGTTAGGCCTCTTTGTTACTGCCTAAACAATAAGTAAAACCACACCTTTTAATTTGGAATTGAATTCTAAACCTTGCCCATGATAATTTTCCTTACCAAGTCTATCCAGCCCATTTTTTATACCCCCCCTCCAAATCTTTTAAATCTTGTATTAATTTCTGTATAGCTAAAATTTCTGTGGTCTGTGTATCTTCATTCCTGTGTGTATATGTGTAGAAGGCTTTGCAGACATCCAAAATGCTTTCATGATGCTTCTTTAACTGTTCAGTTCTCTGTTAGGATGTCTATTGTGCCTTGCCCATCTAGCAAAGTTTTTATAATTGATTTTTTAAACCTTTACATTTTATTAACAGATAATTGATATAATATTCATCACTTTCAAGTGTATATTCAAAAACTTAATAAATTTTCCAAGTTGGATAACCATCATAAAATCCAGTTTAGAATACATCTTAAAACTCTCCATGATGTTTTAGAAAACAACTAAAACGGTAAGATATTCAGTAGTGGCCAATAGTTTTAAAAAATTATGCCCATCTCTAAGTTAGGAATTTGACATTACTACTCTTTCACCCAATGTAAAGATGTTGGAATGCATATACTGTTCAGGTCTGTCATAGGAGCTGAAGTAGTTCAATCACTTGATGGCTGTTTTTGAACTTATGTGAGAGTTCTTTCCTAGAAATGACAAATGTCTTTGGAAAGTGGTGCTCATTCCCCTTTTTAAAAAGTGAGCCAAGAGAATATGGCAAAGTAGCTTATTAACAATCTGCATTTAGCAAGCATACTTCTGGGAACTAACATCTACTTTTCTAATTCTGTCATGTTAAAAGACAATAAAGTTCTTTAACTTTCTAAGAAATGTTTTCTCTCTTTAGGTTGGTCATCCTCAAAGTGTGGCACTTACACCAGGATACCAGTAACTTCAGTATTATCTGAGAATTTGTTAGAAATGCAATTTCTCAGACCCCCTCAATCCAGATCTACTACATCAGTAAGTCTGATGATAAGGCCCAGTGATCTCTTTTACCAGCCTACAGGTGATTCTGATAAGTAAGTTCTAGAGTCTAGAATCCAATGCTGTAGGATTTTTTTTTTTTTTTAAGATTTTATTTATTTATGCTTACAGGCCAGAGGTGTAGTGGGTGAAAGGATTCACCAGTGGCAGACTGGGGAGCAGAACAGTCAGATATACTGAAATACATGCTGAGGGGAGCAGCGGGCAGGTCAGGAGAGGACTGCCATGCCATGTGGGTCACCTCTCTTGCTGGGCATTGAGCTCGTGCTGTGGTGGCTTCGGAGAGCTTCATAATGCAGAGCTTTAACCCAATGTGCCACCTGGGAGAGCCTGCTGTAGGATTTTTTGCCCCATAAACATTAGTCCAAATAGTTAAAAGAAAAAGACCAGCTATTATCAGGAAGGATCACCAAAGTTGTTGCATTATGCAGGCTATTAAAGCCATATATAGAATGGTTATTTTTTAATGTCTTTGATCTTAGAAAAGTATACAAAAGAAGTTAATAATTATCTCCTCCTTCTAATATTTGAATAACTTAGGTGGCACAAGAAGTACTTTCACAGGGATGTCTCAATGCAGACAGAACCTAGGAAGGAGCTTCTTGTTTTCTCCCAGGTCATCTTACATATAGATCAGAGAATAGAACCAAGACAGGGAAACAATGTTTTGTGGCTACTTAGAGAAATCCCACATGACATAAAGAGATAGCTAAATATATTTTAAAACAGTGTATATCAATGTGGGTATGCTCTTAAGCGCTTATCTGGAATCTGCCAATTCTCACAGCAAAATCTCTTTCAAATGCCTCCAACCATTCCCACATGAGAACAACTGCATTCTACTCTTGATTAGTAGAGATCAGGGAGTTAAAGGCTCACTTTCTCTGGATATAATATTAAATCTTCTCCAGCCAAAAGTCAATGCTCTATTTCAATGATTGGAAGTAGGGAATATACTGTTTAATAGGAAAAAATATTTAAAAATTTAGTATTAAAAAACAGTACACATTAGTGTACCAGTATAGTATAAAATACTGATGCCTTATAATTAATGAAGCATAATAAAAGCTAAATACCATTTTAAAAACACATTTTATTGAAATATTACCTGTAAACCGCAGCAGCCTATAGCATTCATTATGGAAGCATTGTGAATAACTCGGTAAGGGATTCCCAGCTTTGCTGCTCTCAGAATAAGATCACTGTGTGTTGTAGCCCTAGAATAGAAAAAGACCAGGTATGAGTAAAGCGACCAGCACAGATTTTTTTAAGACAGTAAAGTTTAATATTTCATGACTTCAAGTTAATCAAAAGGCCAAGAGTGTTTGGCCTCAAATCTGAATGCCTGTATGGGCTGTCATCTGGGCTTTGGCAAGAAAAATCTAAATCTACATGTGTCCTTCCCGATGCTGAACTGCTCCTGTACAATTCTTAAAGTAGCTATGGCAGTTAGAGACAAAAAAGGGGGACATTTTACTTGCCTTCTTATCCTGTTAATACTTACAAAGAAATGCATGGAGTAGAAGCTCAACAACTTGATTCTTGAGCAGCAATTCTCAAACATTTTTGTTTGAGGTCCCTCTAAACTCTTAAAATGGCTAAAGTTCTAAATTCTAGCACACCTAGACCCGCTCCTTGACTTCTGCTCTGTTTTGAAGGTTTTGTCTTTATACTTTGAAATACAAAGGAGAATACAGACTATTTTAATAACCTGTCAATCATTGTAATGTTAAATCCAATAGAATCCTGATCGGACTTTACATCTACCTAGTAATCACCTCATGTGTACATATTTTTAGTCTGGTTACACGTAAGTGTAACGGTTATGTGTGTATGTGTGAGCCTAGTCAGCTTGTACCCTTTCCTTATTTTTAAAGATCAATCTAATGATTATAATTAGATTGGGGTAGAGAGAAAGTAGATGAAAATATAAATATGGATACTGCGAAATGTAATCACACATTCATTTAGAACTTCCTTATTAAAGGCTTTTTTTCCCCTCCTGATGAAAACTCCAGGCTCTACTGGGGAAAGCTACATTAGCATGTTTAAGAAACTACATACAAACAAGCAGGACCTGTCAACTGGTCAATGCATACCAAGTAGCAAGATCAAGGCCTTTACCCCCCATGAGGCAGTCAGAAACAGATTAACAAATGCCCACCAGGGAAGTCTGTTTTTAATCACATACATAAAATAAAAAGTAGTATGAAAAACAATCATTAATTTGATTTTGAGTAAGCTTTTAAAAAAGAATGATTGTCAGCTCTAAAGAGTATTTTTAGCATGACCTTTAGTAGAATTTCACTATTTAACACTAAGAGAAGGAAAATGAATTAGTTACTTGTGAGTTTTGTAAACAAACAAGCAGGTAAAAAATAGCAGGTTGAAAACTGCATCTCTCCTTACAAGTTCATTTAAGATGACCAGATGCAGTCGGTATATTGAAGATTTAATCACCTTGCAAAATTATTTGAATTTCTGAAACTACCATAAATGTTATTTATTTTAAATAAGTCCCTCAAATTTCTGCTATAAAAATTGTCATAAAACTGGTACTTTATCATCATAACTACCTAGATTATACTGCTTCATGAAAAAAGAAGAAAGTGGTTTGAAACAAAGCTTTAAATCTTTACCTGCAGCATTCTTTCCAGTGAGCAGCTCTGAAAATGTTTTATTTATGGTGATTGGAAAAGTGTGTGGTTTGAAGATGGATGGATTACTTTTTCTGGGTAAGTGGCTCACTCCAAACTCAAACTCAAACACAAATTCTCTCTCTCTCTCTCTCTCTCTCTCTCTCTCTCTCTCTCACACACACACACACACACACACACACACACAATTTTGGATAGAGCTACATGGCCAGAAATAGTAACACATTTGTCTTAATCATAAGCTTTAACTTGACATTGCTTTGAAGGCAATTTCAAAAAAGGGGATTCAAAAATGTTTTGACCAATGCATTCAATAAAAATGAAGTACATAAAGATGATTGGTTTGAATGTATAAAATTTGATGTTTACTTAAAATTTGATTTTATAACATTAGCTTGTGGCTCAAAGTACCACCACATTTGATAGAGGTAGTGATCTGGAAATTCTTTAATATTTTCAGTGATTTATGGTGAAATGGATATTCTCATGAATTACTGGGAGCACTGTAAATTGATACAGTTTTAAGGAAAAAGCATGAGCAAAAATGTAGAGGATCAATACTGCAGGGCAACGTTGGGCAATTTGACCCTAGCATAGTCAAAAAAAAAAAAAAACAATTAAAGTAAAAAATAGATAACATTAAAAATTGTCACAAAAATTCACTGAAGAATTTTGAGGAAGTAGTTAATACCATCAAGGTATTTTCTTTAGACCTGTTTCTCACTGACATGAAATTATCCTTTCATCCTGGCCCCCTAGCCTTAGTTAGGTCAAGCCCATCATCTCCAACATTAAACTCTTCCTAGACTCTGTTCAGGCACCAAAGCCTTCATAGAGTCAACTTCCATTAATTCCACTATGTCTTTACATTCACACACACACTTTTATAAACTCATCTTATACTCAAATGTTCCCCAGTAGATCCAAGTTAGCCACTCCTTCCTGAAACATTCTCTTTTGTTGGCTTCTGTGATACTACTAACTCACTAGCTTTTCCTTCTCTATGATGTGTGATAGACCATGGGAAGTCAGTTCTACAGATTGATCCTAGAAGATCTCCTCCCATACTCTTTCCCCCACTTCTCTCCTAGAGAGGTTGTGTCCATCCCGCTGACTTTAAATACTATTATTTATATGATGATGACTTCTAAAGTCCTGTATCCAGGTTAACACCCCACTTTCCTTGAGCTCCAGTCTCAGATAATGAGTAGCCCACTTTACAACCCAAAGTTCAAACATCCAGATCTAATTTTGCTCCCCTCAATCTTTTTCCCTACTGGTTTTTGTCCATTCAAGAAGTGGCACCATCATTCAAACTCAATTGTACATTTCCCCTGCTATCCAAAAATATAATGTTCCAGGCCCTCCCTGGTGTCACAACGAGTAAGGACACAGCACTGCCAGCTAGATGCAGCCGCTTCAGTGCGTATTTGATCCCCGGCACGAGAGGTGACCCACATGGCACAGCAGAACTCTCCTGACCCACCCGCTGCTCCCCTCAGCAGTGCACTTCGTCAGTTGGCCTGTTCTGCTCCCAACTCTGTCTCTGGTGAATATCTCACTGCCCCTACAACTCTGGCTTGTACCCCATTTCTGTATGCTTAAATAAACAAATCTTTAAAAAATATATATAATGTTCCAATTTAGTTAAGTTAGTGTTGGGGGTCTGGAGACAATCAATAATTCTTTCATATAAAATAATACTATGTATCCCTCTCTCCCCCAAATTGCCTATCAAATCATAGCAGTAGGGGTGTTCTATTTGGGATAGTAGAGCACATCTTCTATAATCTACACTGAGGCAGAGTGCTGGCATACTTCTTTCCTTTATCTCATAGGAGTTGGCCACTCTTCCCTTTTTGGCTACTATGTATATGCTGATATTCTTACTAACTTTTCCAGTTTGTGGTTTGTTTTTTTTTTTTCTCTTTTGCAAGAGCTGCTCTTGCTTCCTTATAATCAATGCATCCAAGCATGTGATTCTGAACTCTTTTAAGTCCTCCAAAAGACCTCCCTGGTAGCACAAAGGGTTAAGTCTTACCATGAGTTCGATCCCCAGCCAGGAGCTGACCTCTCCTTTCTCTCCTGCTGCTTCCCTTCAGCAATATATTCCAGTCAATCCACCTGTTCTGTTCCCACTTTGTCTCTGGTGAATCCTCTCACCCACCATACCTCTGGCCTGTACCCCAGTTCTTGTACGCATAAATAAATGCATATTTTTTAAAACCCTTCAAAGGCTTAGCTTTGTACTTCAAACAAAATCTGCATTCTCTCCAAGGCCTGCAATAGTTGGTCTCCTGCCTCCATCTTTAACTCTTTCTCCAGTCCTCCTCTCCCTCACTCACTATGCTTCAGCAAGTGTGGTCTTTTATTTCTTTAAAGACATTCTTGCATCTCCCTCTGCCTAAAATGCTGTTTGCTACTGCTATGACTCTCTACATGAGTAAGTATTCTCATTCTTTTCTACCTTTTTTTTCCATACAGGACAATCAAAAATTTTAACTTATTATTATTTTATTAAATTGTCAGTCTCCCTTACTAAACTTTAAACTCCAGGTTTTATTACCTAATCCCCACCACAAAGGAGTAACCTTTCATGAGGTAGCTGTCCCAAAGATATTTGTTTAATGAGTAAGTGTCAATCCAAGATTTGCCTGGCTTTCCTTCCTTCATTGTGACCTCAGGAAAATATTCAACAACTCTTTCAATTAAAATATAGCTGACATCTACTAATGCCAAGTATTATGAAAGATACTATGGAGTCTGAAAAAAAAATACTATGAAGAACAGAATGAATCTAAAGAATAGATGTACCCATTTATTTAAAAAATGCACCATAGGGAGGGCAAACTGGTTGGTGGAAGCAGGTTCTGATACAGGGGTGGCAGGTTAGAAGCGCAGGTTGGATAGTATTTTTCCTATCTACCCACTTTCTCATTTTGAATCCAGGTAAGAATTTCATACTATGATTTTACAAATATTGAATTTGAGCACAGTATAGTGGAGTTCAAAGTTTGTAGTCTGACTAGGCAAAATGGCTACTAGATAGAACTAGGGTGTATGTGATATTAAGACCTTGCATTAGGCAGGAAGAGAGCAGCTAGAGCGAAATGAGAAACACTGACTAAAAGAAGCCAATAGCAGAATTTCTCAAAGTAGCTGTGGTGAAAGGCCAACATCCCTTTAACTTGTCATGGAACAATAGATTTACAGAACTGCAGTAAAAAATAAAATAGCAGCTTTCTGCCAACCTATGTCTATATAGGTGCCTCTTTTTTTTTCTTTCTCCTTTTCTTAATAATCCTATCCTTTTAAAATGTACCAAAAAAAAAAAAAAGAAGAAAGAAAAGAAAAGAAAAAGAAAATAATGCAAAATAGAAGCTCCAAATTACTGGATTCAGCAGAGAAAAATTTACGTTTTAAAATACTGACATAAATGTTTCTAAATGCCTACTCTCCATTTCTGTAGTTCCCATGTCACAGACAAATGAAAATGTGCGCACTGGCAGTGGTCTGCAAACTTCATTCCAGGCAGTGTTGGTTCATTGTACTCCATCAGCAACTGGATGCCAGAAAGTCATAGAGGGCTCTGGAGTTACAAGTGTAGATCCATGAAAAAATTGTGACACTAGCAGCCAGGAAGTTTGGTGGGCTCAAAAAGTGTCCCTTTAGAAAACACGGGACTTTAGCAGAAGTTGGTGAAGTATGAGAAAATCCTTTAAGATACGTCCTATATGGGAGTTGTCATTACTTTTTTTTTTTTTTTTTTTTTTACTATTTTCTGGCGAAAAAATGGATAGTAAACACTGCTAGTTTGATGAAGTCATACTTTTTCTAAAAACAAGGTCAGAGACTAAAACGGATTATTTAGGTATCTAAAGTGCATGATTATCCAATATCATCTGTAACTAAGAGTGCTAATGACACACCCCTGGCACCTCATATTGAAATAAATCACTTTTTGACAGACACATGCTCATGTTAACTCCTTTCTTTTGAAAAACATCCTTGGTGGTGGGCTCAGAGTGATTTAATTGTCCTTATGCTCCTTAAATCTGTGACATAAATCTTGGGTCACCAGCTGGAGACAAAGAACTCTTCTGTTTAGTTTGACATTAGAGATTGATGATGCTTGACTAGACAAGTAGAGCCCATCTTTTTAGTAATGCAGAAGAACAAAGCTCCCAGTGGATATAAGAAATTGAAATCTGAGGCTTGACAAGGAAAGAACAGCAATATTGCTAAATATTAGATGATTAAAAAGGGGGGGAAAAAGCTTTGGAAAAAAATGGCAGAACATGCTTACAATTGGTAAACATCTGCTAAATAAATGGTAGGTATGAGTCTTGATAAAGCAATACATCTCTTTAACAGTGACATACTAATGAATTTGATGCAAGTGATCTAAAAGAATAGCTGAAGCAATGATACAAACTTTAGAGATGACTCGATAATCAAGTTAAGTGATACATAAGACACTATCCTTACCAATCAGATTTTCTTCATTAATTTCCAAGATTGTCAGTCAAACAAAACTTTACAAGGTACAAGGAGTCTAAATGAACAGAATCTTCTTATCCGGCTCTTGCAGGTAAAGGTTTTATATGTAACAGTATGATTTTTATTGAGTAAAAAAGGAAATGAGTAAATCTCAAAATATCAGCTTTGACTTACCCAAATGGGTCACCAACCACAAGGAACGCAACATCAATAATATCAGCATCCTTTAAAATATTATCTGCTTCTTGTTCCACTTCCTCTCTATCAGCAATAATCAATTTTTTTCCATAAAACTCTTCCTATAGATTTAAGTGCAAGATCAAAATGAAATAGCAGGTGATTATTTCAAAACACACACATACACACACACAGCATTGTTTGGAGCTGGTGTAACTCTTGGCAATCATCCAAACAGATCACTGAATTCAACTCATCAATGAGCTAGCACTCTATATCATGCTGCAATTAAACTCTGTCTTTGGGGCTATCTTAATATCCCAGGAGGAGGTAGACCTCCTCACATCTGAGGCTTTTTGCATTTTAAATTTATCTTTAATTTTGGGCCTAACAGACCAGGCAGAAGATTGTAGAATGAACAGAGAAAATAATGCATGCATGAGCTTTACTTTAAAAACACAGAATACAGAATACATATATTAAATAATTATAATGCCCATGGCAGTTTGGGTTTTGACACATTTTCCATAGGAAAATCTACAGGACCCTGGCTAAGAAAAAAAAAAGGTAACTTTAGTGAAAATAATAGAAAATAAAGATAGCTGTTTATAGAATTTGCATTCTTATGTAAGTATGTGGAAGACAAATTTAAAACTGTATTTCCTAGATCCTGCTAAAAATTTCCTAGATCCTGCTAAAAAGGCAAAGTAACAGAGAAAAGAATAGCACTGAAAATGCACAGGAAGTCTCTACACATACTGCTTTGTGAACTAATCCCCTGAAGCTCAACTTTAAAGAAGAAATGCAGGAGGCTGACTATAAGCAGAGCAGCAGCATGTAAGTAAGGAGTGGGGGTTAGTGTGGGCTATGTGATAGAAGTTACAAGCTACTGTGTGGGACCTAGAAGCTTCTAACTGATTTCCTGCAGAATAATTCGAATACGTAAAAGTGCATGAAGGCAAAGACAAATAATAATGTTCCTTATATACCAAGAAGCTTGTTTGAATCATAAGGATTATGTTATAAGGATTGCTGTAATAATAGGAGACTATCTGGCACTTACCATTTGTCAAGCAAATGAGTGAATCAACAAATGATTAGGATAAAGGCTGTAGTTCTAAATCTGGCAACTATTTCTTAAAACTTAACTAGAGTCTGTCCTGGATCTCAACCTTTTCTCAGCATATCTTCTTGAAGATACGTTCCAAAAGTTTCCAAGGACAATGATTCTATAGACAATAAAGTGTCTTTGCTTTTACCATATATGTATTTTCTTAATCATTAAATATATTTTTCTTCATATGTATGTGAACATATCTAAATGTTTCCTTCAGTTAAGGAAACGATGTATTTTTTCTGAACTTCTAACATTTTTGAACTTGTAAATTTCTTTATTTATTTTTACATACAAAAACTGGGGTATAGGGCAGAGGTGAAGGAGGGGGAAGAGGTGAGAGTATTCATCAGAAACAGAGTGTAGCAGAATAAGCAGATCTACTGAAATACTGTGTGGGGAGCAGCAGGCAAAACAGGAGAGGTCTGCCTTGCTCTGTAGGTCAGCTCATGGTTGGGGATAGAACTGAGCCACAGTGGGTGGCAATAGCTTGATAACCCTGTGTCACCAGTGAGACCCAACAGGTAACATTTCTTAAAGATCAATAAGCAGGCCCTCCCTGGTGGTGCAACGGGTTAGGATGCAGCACTACAAGCTGGCAGCAGCACTTCTGTGCCAGTTTGACCCCCAGCCCTTCCCGCTGTTCTCCTCAGCAGTATACTTCATCTGTCTGCCTGTTTTGCTCCTGGTTCTGTCTCTGGTGAATCCTCTCACCGCCCCTGCACCTCTGGCCTGCACCATAGTTCTGTATGCTTAAGAAAATAAGTCTTAAAAAAAAAAAAAAGAGATCAATAAGCACATGCTTCTAGTTGAATGCTAGCAATAATTTTACCTCATTGTTTTATAAATGGTATAACAGAAAGCCCTACCCTAAAAATGTACATCATACATCATTCCAGATCTAATTTATCACTTCATCCTAATGTAAGACCCATTTCATCATCTAATTAGACAATAGCATGTTTAGTCAAAGATCGCACCACAAATACTCCAATATAATCCAAAAGCTAATCTTCTTAATATTTTTGTTTTTTAAAAAAGGAAGAGATAGCAAAAGCAGTAAGAGACTTCTAATACATTGTTTTTAATTTCCCCACTTGTTCACTCACTCAAAAAATACTTCTTCTGTACAATCACAATGCCAAACTCTATTCTTGATATTGGAAAAAAGGTAAATGAGATTTCATGGCCCCTGCCCTGTGAAGCATAGTGTCCAGAAGGGAATTAATTGTCATAATACATCTGTTATAAGATTATCAAACATAGTAAGGAACAGGCACGGAAAATTAAAGAAGAAGACAAACACACCATTTAACAAGTGATATAAAATTTATACTGTATATTATCCAGTAGTTGATTGCCAATCAGTTTTTATACAATCTTGGTCCTAATTTCCATTCATGAACATGATGGTAAAACTCATTTTATTTTTTTTTAAAGATTTATTTATTTATTCATACAGAACTGGTGTACAGGCCAGACAGGGTTCACCAGAGACAAAGTAGGGAGTAGAACAGGCAGATCAACGAAGTACACTGCTGAGGGGAGCAGCGGGCGGGCCAAGAGAGGTCTGCTGCGCCATGTGGTCACCTCAGGGGCAGGTGGGGATTGAACTCATGCGGAAGTGGCTTTTGCTTCTTAGTGCTGTGCTTTAACCCGCTGCACCACCAGGGAGGGCCAAAACTCATTCTATTTTAATTCAACAGGTTTTATACATGGGAGAAAGGAAAAAGTTAAAATTACTTTTGGATATTTCTGGAAGGATATACAAAAAATTACTACTGACTGCCTCCTGGAAGGAGAATTGAGGTAGAAATATTTCAAGGTATGTACCTTTTAGATCTTTTGAATTTCAAATCTTTGATGTATTAGAAAGGTAAAGGGTAAAGGGTCAAAGTAATATGTGGCAATAAATGAGAAAATAAATTCTTTTTAAAAAAACCATGAACACTTAATCAAGGAACATAGAAATAAGCTTACAAAGGGAACTGAGAAAAATGGAATAGTAATAATAAAATTTGTTTCAAGCTAGTGTCAAAGACGTAAAACAGTCTTTTGGAGTTCTAGACTACTAAATAATTATTCAATAGGCAAATAGTTCAGAGAACTGGATACTTCCAGTTATAGATTTACTATCTATAAGTGTTTGAGCCATGAGTAGAATGAAGATAATAAAAGTGAACTTCTTTTTTTTAATTTGGATAAAGAGAAACAGAATAATAACTATGGGGGGAAAAGGTCTTAAAAAAGCAAGACTTCAGGGCCCTCTCTAGTGGCGCAGCGGGTTAAAGCACAGCCCTAAGAAGCTAAAGCTACTTCAGCATGAGTTTGATCCCCGCCCAGGAGGTGACCCGCATGGGAGAGGTGACCCTCAGCAGTGGACATCATCAGTCTGCCTGTTCTGCTCCCCACTCTGTCTCTGGTGAATCCTCTCACTACCCCTGCACCTCTGGCCTGTACCCCAGTTCTGTATGTATAAATAAATAAATCTTAAAAAAAAGAAAAAAAGAAGACTTCAAGATGGACAGTTTGTACTGAATATGGTGTCAGACTGAAGGAAGAAGGGAATTAAAATAAACACAAAGCAAAATGAATACTTGCGAGTAATGTTCCTGATGAAGGGAGAAAGTTTAAGGCACTAGCCTTAAACGGGAAGAGAACCTCAGATTAGTTTTCAAAAAATTGTTTAGCCTTTAAAGGTTTTCTGGTATTTCCCTATTTACAAATATTCAGGCCTCACTATATAATGATTTTCATGCTTCATTTGCACTCCTCTTATGCAAGGATAATGTTCTGGGCTGTCCTCTCTCTGAGGTCCCTCATGAGTCTCCACTTCTACTCCATAGTAGAAAGCCAGTCAGGCAAATTCAGTGATTCACTCACTTCAAGCTTAAAACTGTTCTCATTCAGGAATTTTTCCACCCACAAAACTACATGTAGAGGCAACTATAGGCTCCCTCACTCCTTCCTTTGCTGGCTGCTGGTTCTGACTGGAAGATAATGGCAGTCAGCAGGTGGTTTTTTTTCCCCCCACTATAGGTCACTTTTTTGTTCCAGTGAGACTCAGAAATATAAATAAAATGAAGGAAGATAGTGAGGGACCACCGTAGGGTAGGAGGAGGGAGGGAGGCAGGAAGGAAAGAAGAAAAGCAGGCAGGAAGTGGTTCAAGAAAGTGGCTTTGCGATTTTATTGGATAATATAAACTTTTATTTATACCTTAATTTATTCCAAAAATGATTCATTAAGATGAGCTGCTGTTGTATCGCAAGCTGCTCAGGGAGGAACACGAACTAAAGACTAGTATGCAAATTACAGATAGTAGAGACTGAAGGAATTTTGTGATAGAGCAGGATCCAGAATAGTCCATTTTGCTCGAATCCTACCTTCTCTGTAGTTCTCTGATTTTGTGAAGCTATTATCTTCTCTAAGAATACAGAGCTTCAAAACAATTTAATTCTCTTAAGAATACAGAGTGGTGAACCTCAAATCAGGACAGCCTTGCCTCTATCACTCATTCCCTATATGACCTTGGGCAAGTTTCATTATGTCTATAAAATGGGGGCCACAGTTTAAAAGCAATAATCATGTTGTACATACAAAGCATTTAAACCAGTATATATAGTAAGTACTGTAGAAATAGTAATACTTATCATCGTGGAGGAATAGATATTCTAGCATCTTAGCAAAGTACACATAATTTACCTGTAGGTAAAGTTGGGCCCAGCTAGTTCCTGACTGTCTAATAATGTTTATGGAAAACATAAAAATACTTTTAAAACTTATAGTAATTAAAGTTAACATTTCCTGATACTTAAAATGTTAAGCACTTTAAAATAAGTCATCTTAATATTAGACACAACTTCCATTTTGATGCATGGCAAAATCAAGAAGTAGTTCTTAAATTTACTCAAACCTTTAATGAGTCTGCTAAATGTCTCATACACTAACAATCTTAAAGTTATTAAGTCCCAGGTTCACTTGACATACAAATGTAGGAGTATAAGCCTTACTGGAAGATGTTTATTCAAAGGTAAGACCTGTCTGGATATGATGCAGACAGAAAGGAGATTATCATTCCCTATGGAAACACTTCAAAGGGAGAAGCTTTCAGCTTGGTTTCTGAATATATAACCAACTCATTAAGGCTGTGTCAGCAGCTCATTAGCACTCAACTCAGAAAGGATTTCTTGGTTATCTCATGAAATAAGGGATTTTGAGAACAATCCCCAGGAGCGTAAAGTAACTTTCCCATTTACCAGAAAAGCCGCAAAATTAGACTTGTAAAGACAAAGCGCTTTCATTTTCCCATTCACTTGGTATATGATTTCCAACCTTGTACCCGCTCAGATCCTTAATGAGCAGGATGGGATTTACACGTCTTGAACTGGCAGGTCGGAAAATTCCGTTCAACTCAGTGTAATGAAAATCGGCCGTCAGGAAGTTCTGGAAGCCACAGACCCTTCAGCACCTACCAGGACTTCCTTCCCTACAGTGAGGATTGAGGTATAGGCTTCCAGGTACACTCGGTCGCAGCGTCTGACAGCTTCCAGGCCCTTGACAGTGATATCCTTGGCATCTCCCAGGCCCAAGCCGATCAGGTAAAGCATTTCAAAGTCCGGGGGTCAGGGAGACTGCAAAATGAAGTGTAAAACAAAATCATGTGTCAGCTACACCCAGAACACCTAAAATCTAGTGCTGATCACGAAAACAAAAACCTAAATAGCACGAGGAGCGACCTCATTTCATTCATGCTTCTTAAGTAAGAATCAGAAAAAGTGAATTTTCACAACCCCACCCCGCCTGCTCTCTGGTTACACAAACCTAACTGCAGTCGAGGACCCTCTGACGGAATCGTATGATCTCCGATCTCCCCTAACCCTAACTAACTACAGCCTTTCTCAGAAGCTGCAGCACCGAGTCCGCGCTCCAGGCAGCAAGGTGCCGTAAGCGTTTTCAGGCCGTAAAACGCCGTGCTACGGCTGCGCTTTACGACCCGCCGGCGTTGAGGGCGGGGTGAAACGTAATCCCCGGAAAGGTCACTCGGCAGGGAAAGGGGCGGCCAGTGCCCCCGGCGTGGCCTCTAGGAGACGGCGCGGCTTAGCCCTGGGCTTAAGTCTCCCCGCCTTGGAACGAGGTGAGTGCTGGTGTCCGCACGCCCGAGCCGGCCTGACGTTGGGTCCCCGAGTCCCCAGGATCGGGGAGAGTCCCACGTCTGGCGCTTCTGCTGGTCCAGACACGCGAGGGGTGGGGGGCGGGGAAAGGGAAGGGGAGCCGGTGGGCGGTTCTTCCCCAAATTTGTCCGGGATAGTCCTAGCACCCACGCTCGCATGCTCGCCTTTTCTTTGGACTAGTTTATTTAACCAGCTGCCTGCCGGGTGACAGCCGCGCGGGAAACCCGGTGGTGGGCGTGGCTTGAGTGCTCAGGGGCGTGATTGCTCCGGGTCTCCAAGACCGCTTGGGGGGGCTTCGAGGGGAGTGCCTGGGATCGGCCTTAGAGCCCGTACAGTCGGGAAGCCCAGACCCGCCTGTGCCTAAGAAGTAACCTGTAAGGATGCTCAGGGGTTCCTGACCACCTCCCAGTTGCATCCACGGGGGAGTTTTTCCGAAGTGGTTGATTAGAAGTAGGTTCTCTGTAGGAATGACTTGTTTGTAAATGCTCTTCTCTCCTTGGAATGGCTTGTAAAAATGCTTTTCAAATCACTAGCGACCTCATTCCGGTTAAAAAGGCAGTTCCCATTGCTTTTCAGAGTAGACAGTGTTGGATGTTCTTGGTACTTATCCAACGATTACTTGTGCCGTTTTTTAAACCTTGGTTTTATGTTTTCTTCCCTGATACAATCCACTCTTTTCCTGTATCGTCCTAAACACTCTTCTTGATGGATTCTCACAACTCTGTTCACATTGATGTATTCCTTACACCATAAACAAAAACTGGGTATGGATTGAAATAGAAAATCCTAAACTATGAAATGTCCAGGTGGAAACATTTGTGACTTTATATTTAGGCTAAGATTTCTTAGGGGAAAAGAAATCAAAAGCACTGGTGTTCAAAAGAAGTGGATAAATTGGATTGCAACCAAATAAAAACGCGTGCTCTTCAAAAGATACTAGAAAGATGCATAATGGTAGAAAATCTTGGCAAAACAGGTATCTGATAAAGAATTTGAATCACAAATATATAAAGAACTCTAAAAATACAATAATAATCTTGAAAATGGGTTAAAAAAAAGTCAGTGATACCTGTTCCCAAAGAAAAGATATGAGTACCAAATAAGTATTTAAAAAGATGCTACATGTCATGAGATATTAGGGAAATAAAAATTAAAATTGCAAGAACATACACTACATATCTCCTAAGGTGGTCAAAATTAACAAAACAAAACTTTGAGTACTCATCCTCATAATTTCAGGTATTTCTAATATTTTGTTACAATTTCATCCTCCCTTTCAGATGTCTCCTTCAGATTCCTATATTGAACTCAGCCGAAAATCATTTCTGTAAACCAAGAGGCATTCCAGACTCAACACATCCCAAAACACCGACTCCTATTTTCCTTTCAACTTGGCTTTTCCTCCTGTTTTATCTGGAAGGCATTGCCATCTGTATACTTGCACCCAAACCAGATAATTGGAATCACCCCCAAATTCAGTTTGATATCTGTCTCAGTTTCTCAATTGAAACCTCACTGTCCACTGTCTTACTGGTTCTGATCTTCATTATGTTACTCCTGTAACCGGTTACCTTGTCACCCTCACATTCATCCTTTTCTTGGCAGCCGGAAAGGATCTGGCCCACCTACAGTGTGCAGGTGTCAGTCTAAAAATCCTTTTGTAATGGAGAGAAATTCCAGGATCTTTATCATATCTCACAGGTCATTCATTGTGTGACCACTGTGTTCCTTCAGCTTCATCTCTTGCCACTCCAGACCGTGAACTTTTTTTGTTTTGTTCAGAGCCCACAGAATGCTGCTAATGGGAATGCAAACTGGCATGGAAAGCTGTTTAGAGGTTTCTCAAACTGCTAAAAAAAGGAGCTTCCATATGACCCAGCAATCCCACTCCTAGGTATTTACCCAAAGGGCGCAAAAACATTGACTCAGTAGGACACCTGCAACCCCATGTTTATTGCTGGTCTAGTGACAATAGGGACGACGGAGAATCAACCCAGATGCCCCAAAATAGATGACTGGATTAAAAAGATGTGGTACATACACACAATGGGATATTACCCAGCAATCAAAAAGGATAAACTCATATCTTATGCAGCAGCATGGGTGGAGCTAGAAGGGATCATGCTTAGTGAAATAAGCCAGAAAGGAAAAGAAAAATACCAGATGATTTCACTCATAGCAGGAGCATAAGGGACTGGGGGGTGGGGGGGGTGGTGGAGGGGGGAAGCAATTGGAATAAAGAAAAAATGAAAAACAATGAACAACCAGAGACATTTTATAGGGGTGGAGAGGGGAATAGGATCAAAACTGGGGTAGGGTAGGAAGAGTACACAGTTCTATGGTGATGGCACACGAGTGAATTGTTGATGGAGATTACAACCAAGGCCTTGGAGATTACAAAAGTCCTTGGAGATTACAACCAAGATGAAAAAATACACAAAATGAAGAATGATGTAAAAAAAAAAATTCAAAACTCTACAAAATTAATAAATAGGTTAAAAAAATCATCCTTCATTTTTCCTATTTGAGCTTAGTATTTCAGTGTTTCTCTTGAAAAGCAGACATCAGGTCTGCTGGGTAAACTCCATCTGACCTTCTTGTGAATAGAGGGTATCATTTAACTCTGAAGCTGCCCTTTTAACCTACATGTTCCCAGAGGGTGCCGCATTGTTAGAGGAAATCTTGCTTAATATTTGTAGAGCTTAGAGATTCTGAATTGATTGAGTCATTAATTAGTTTCTAACAATTCACAAATAAGTGGCAATTAAAGATATACTCAAAAGAGAAGGAAGTATGTTAAGATTAAGAAAAGATTTGAAATTATTATGCATTTGCTTAGGAGAAAAAAATCACTTTTTATTCAGTAATCTAGTCATCTACACATTTTACAACTAATTATATGATCTTGTAAAATGTATAATAAAATCTGTATCTAAAGCTATTTTCAGTTATAAAAATGTCTATTTTTTGTTACTGTCATTAATTCTAGCTTAATACAGCAACCATGTAGGTTGATTGTAAGGGCATTTTTACAGAAAACCCAATTAAGGGTAATTTCAGTGAAAAATAAAGAAATTTTTGTTATTGTAATTAACCTTGGCTAAATAGATTGTGAAGGAGTAACCATTTGGATTGTTGGTCAGAAAGTCATCTAGAGCGATGTGTTTTTGTGTCACGCCCCATTATGTGTGTGTGTGAGAGAGGGTGTATGTGTAGGAACTGTTTTTTGTTTTTCTTTATTCTAACCCATTTTTATAATTCTTTCCTTCAAAACATTGCTAAAATGGCATCAGAGATACATAGTTTCATTTTTTTGCTTTTTGCTACCGCTTGCATGTTCACCCTCAAGAGCAAACTGGGGGACTCCTTTAAGGAGGACAGTTCTCAGGTAAAGGACAATGCTGCCAGTAAGGCTCTGTGTGGTGACATCTGAAAGCACTATTCTCACCCTCTCTCAAGGAGAAACTGGGGGAAGGGGAATGTTGAACAACAACCCTAACAAGGGATTCTGTGTCTGTATCTGTGAATTTCATATTATTTGACAAATCCATCATCAGTGAGGGGACCCAACCAAAAAATGTAATTAAAGGAGATGGCCCGTTACTGTACTGACACCTTACCCCTAGTGCATAGGCAACTTAGTCCCTGGGTTCAAGAAACCCAAAGGGAAGAAGAGAGACAGAGCTTGCCCATCATTGCTGCCTGGTGCTGTTGAACCTATTCTCCCTGGGAAGGATACAGGAAAAGCCTGCGCCTTTTGCATTTGTGTTACCTGATAGCACCAACCTTTGAGAATAGTTTATCTGTATGTTTGCTTCCTTCAGCAGTGTGGCATAGCTTCACATGCCCACAGCGCGTGTGTGAGAAAGCCTCTCGCCCAGAGTGGATTGGATGCCATGCCCATGGAAAATCTAAAGTTCTCTTCAAATTTCACCATCAATGCATGGGGGAATGATTGAGACCTACTAGCCTCTTTGATCAACCTTTTTTTTTTTCTGTGAAATTCACGCATATTGTTTTGTGTAGCATTTCATTCTATTCCTTGCTGAGTAGTAGTCTTGTATGAACATATGACAATTAATGTATCTTTTTTATTTATTGCTATTTAAGTAGTTCCAATGCAAGTAAATCTGCTGTGAACATGCTTTTATGTCTTTGGTTGGAGATGAGTGTTCGTTTTTGTTGGAAGACATACCCAGGAAATGGAACTGCTAGGTTATAGAACATAGGTGTTTTTACATAAGTAGATCGGTACAAACAGCTTTCCAAAGTGTTTGTACAGTTTCCATTCCCACCAGTATGAGAGTGCCAGTTGCTTTGTATCCTTGGTATATTAGTGGGTGTATAGTAATGTCTCATTTCTTTTAATTGAGATATAATTGACATATAACATGATACTAGCTTTTGGTACACAGCATAATGATTTGAATATATCAAACTGATCATAGTAATTCTAGTTAACATCCACCACCACATGTAGTTGCTAAAATCTTTTTTAAGATTAATTTATTTATGCATACAAGAACTGGGATATAGGCCAGAGGTGTAGGGGGTGAGAGGACTCACCAGAGACAGAATGGGGAGCAGAATAGGTGGATCAACTGAAATGCACTGCTGAGGGGAGCAGCAGGCGAGACAAAAGAAGTCTGCTGCACCGTGTGGGTCACCTCCCTAGCTGGGGATTGAACTTGTGGTATAATGACTGGAGATAACTTCACAATGCTGTCTTTTAACCCCATGCACCACCAGGGAGGCCCTGTCAGTGTGGCTTTAATTTTTGTACCCTAATGACTAATGATGGTGATTACCTGATACATATTATACATAATATTTTCTGGCATTCACAATTCTCTTTAATATTAATTAATATAAATTTTGTATTGGATGAAAGTGTTTTTAAAGGTAGTATTAACGGAAAACACTTCTAGGTAAATTTAGTTTTTAAAGGCAGAAGTATTTGTTT